GATTAGGTATGGGAGTTGGCCTGGAAACCACACAAATGGCCTGCCATGCTGTTCCACTTGAAGGCCTACCGACAAGGCATGAGGGCAATCCTTCAACATGTAGAACGTGTTTGTTCCTGACAATTCCCCAAAGAGATCCACCACTTCAGCACTAGGCCTGATGCCTCATTTGCCTCGTGCACATGCTCCCTGAAGGATTGCGGCAAACTCTTGCTTGAGATTAAGTTCCTACCGGCACCTGTGTCCAGCAGAAACTCTTGCTGCACTGGCTGGCTAAGGCATGCAATCATGGTTGCCACGGCTTTCATGCATTGCGACAACACGGGAGTGCAGAATGCGGTCTTCTTGCACTTCTTGGCTGCTTTCTTAGCTTCAGCAACAGTTCCTTTCAAGGCATACGCGGCTGCGAAAACCTTTGCTGCCCCTGCGTTGACGGAGGCTGCACCTGCTGGCGATGACGTCTGAAGCCCTTTTGGCTTGGGTCCCTTATAGAGATTGTTGGAATCATGCAGATAGAAGCACTTATCACCTTTGGTGCAAGCATTATACCCAAAGTACATGCAAGGCTGCTTCTTCTTCTCTTTCATCCGTTAGCCTAGGAGTGCCCTTAGGAGTTGTGTCCCCCTTCTTACCCTTGCCACCCTTACTCTCGCCCTTGCCTTTCCCCTTTGCGGGTGCTGCATTCGCTTCTTTAGGCTTCGGATCTTTGGAGTCTTTGGGCTTCTGGCTGGATGAAGGTTGCTCCTTTTGGGCTTCCCCCTTCTTCTCTGCTTTCTTGTCGTTCTTGTCTTTCCCTTCCTTTGTCTTGGCTGGTGCTGCTTGGGACTTAGTTGCGGATTGCGTGTACACCTGATCGATCGACACGACATTTTCATCTAGCTGATGAATCTCGATGATTTCCCCGAGCTTCGCGTAAAGCCAAGGCCATGTCCTTTTACTGCTGTTTGGACTGGCGTTCCTGAAACGGTCGATCACCAAAGCCATTTTTGGATGTCCTTTCAATTGCTCGAAAAGGGTGCTCCTAATAGCTTGGTCACTCGGTCTCTCGGAGTCGAATCTCTGACGGAAATCTTCGAGTGCCTTAATGTCGGTGCCGCTCATCTTGAGGCCTAAGAGATGGGTTTGAGTCAAGGCAATTCCCCTATCCTTCTCCATCTTAAACCTCTCAAAGATGACCCACAACAACTTCCGCCCCTTTGGCTGCTTGAAGACCCGTTGCTCTTGCTCCTGAATGGATTGGAAAAGCATGGCAAACTTGGTGTTCTTCGACAGCTCAAGCAGCTTTGAACCCAACACTCGATCAAGAATTGGAAACGGAAGGCTCGACTCGAGATCGGCTTTGGGATTAGTGCTTTCGGCGATCCAGCTATGGACTAAGGATTCGTCACCCTTTGCAAGCCTACACACAAGGTTGAAAACCGAGTTCCTGAATAGGCGAGCGTCTGCCGCCGTTTTGGGCAGCTGAGGCAACTTCATCTCATCATATGCCTTCACACGCATGAGTTTCTTTTCCCTTGAGTAGGCATCGATTGCCCCGTCAATTTGGGCCATTCCCTGATTTCCTTGAGATGGAATTGAGGGGCCCTGAGGAGGTCTTTGCGAGCCTCCTGGCGAACCTCCTGGTCTCCCGCCGCCTCCACCCTTGTTGGATTCGCTTGATGAGCTATCCGAGTGATCTGGCGACCCAGGATTGGAACCATGCTGTGAACCATTCTGCGATCCACCCCCCGACTGCCCTCCCACAGATCCTATGTTGAAAATCTGAGGGACTTGCCCTGTTCCTGCCTGATGAATTTGCGGCACAGGTTGAGCGGCGGCAGTCTGGGATGCAAATAGCTCACAGGCTGATGTGAGTTGATCCAAACGCCTTTCTAATGCACTTAATCCCGGATTCGGTGCAACTGGAGAAGAATCCCCAAAAATGTTTCTCACAGCACCTGATAAGTCCCATGATGAAACATTGTGTGCACTGATTCCGGTGCCCTGAGGCATCACGGGGCTTGCCTGATGTGAACCAGTGCCATGCGCTATCGGTTGGGGGTTTCCGGTGCCCTGCGGCATCACGGACCCGTCCTGCGCTGGCTGGCTGGTGCCCGAAGGCATCACAGCAGGCTGCCCACTCGCCTGCAGTGGCGGATTATCCGCGCCATTATGGATGCATGCCAATTCCCTTTTTAAGGATTGATTTTCGGCTTCAAGAGAATTCAACCTTTGCTCCATTGCTAGCAAACGGTCTGCCAACTGTTGCGCCCTCTGCGCTGCTTCGGCCTCCCTAATTTGGTGTTCCCTAATCTGGTCACTTGTGCCATGCTGGGTCCTCGTCAAGGCATCTTGGAGTGCCTGAACCTGTGCGTTGGCTTGTGATTCCAAATAAAGGACTCACTCCTGGGCTTGTCTCAATTGGTCCCCCGATTCATGCTTGGTCCTTTCAAGTGATTCCTGAAGGGCATGAACTTGATTGAAGGATTGGCCAATTGATTTACCCTATCCCTAGCCTCGGCCATTAAGCTTTGAGCTTGGGCTTCAGTGACAATCAACCTCCTATCATTCTCTCTCAAATGCGCTTCAGCTCTTTCGACCAGTTGTTGATCCAATGATTGAACAACCATGGTCGGCTGGCACACTTGTATTGATGAGCTTGAGCGTGCATTTCAACATTTGGTGAGAAATGATGATGCTGTTGCAACTGAGCACTTTGCATGTTGATCCTACTACCCATCGGTTGGGATGATGCCGTGGACATGCTAGTGTCTTCATTACTATTACTGGAGTCTGCGACCTGCGGGGGTGAAAACATCTGTGCAGATCCCTGAGCAGATGGAACTATTTCTGACGGATCCATTGCTTCTTGAAGTTGGTCGGACAGGAAAAGCTACTGACGCAATGCCTGCTTGCACCTTGTGGCGCACTCCGGCCAATGGGCCACACAATCCTCAAGAAATCCGACTGGCCTGAACAAATTGTTGGCCGGTGGCTTTCTGCGAAGCTTGATGTGAATGCCCGAGATCTTGTCCTGTACCTGGCGATCGATGATACTGTTGATGACCTCGTCACTGTCGTCAACGATGAATGCCGAGCGGAATCCAACTGACAGCAGATCCTGAAGGACTAGCACCTTCCCACCTTTCTGGGTCCTGGAGTTGTATCTGGCCCTTTCAGAAGTTGTAATGATGAAGTCAAAAACTGATGAAATATCCGGAGTGCGATTGAACGCAGCAACCAATGCGTCTCGGCGTTCTTGGCTATGGAGGTAGGATAGGCAGATTGTCACAACGTGGATACCTTCGCGAAAGAAAGCGGCTTTCAGCTGTCTAATCGCTTCGAGGTTGTCGTGGCAAATACCTTTGTAATCCCACTCTGTGCGTCCGCAACGGGCTCTGTCAAGAACCTGGTGATAGTCGATTGCAACCACGCAACTGTCCCGAAAGTCAATGCCGTAGCGCGGCTCGTAGACAAAGGACAACCCTTGATCTTCCCAATTGCTGTTCACACACTTGAATACTCCTGTGGCAAGAGGTAAATCACAAATCACCGCAGCGAAGTGATGCCCGGAAGGCTCAGCGCGCCTCGGCGTACGTGAAGTGCCCTCTGGCCTCGACGCAGCTTTGCTGGTCGCCTGGAGCAATCTGTGCTGCACAGGCTCCGCAGATGACGATGCAGGCTCTTCGGCTCGGAGCGACTCGCGCTGCACAAGCCTAAGAGGAGCAGTTCGATCCGCTGCCTTCACAACCCGAAAAAACACCCGATGATTCTGGGGCTCCTCAGTCAGACGCTGTTGCTCGTTCCAAACGGCCTGTTCGTAGAGCTGTAGCTGTTCCCAGTTGACTTTTGCACGTGCAAGTCTGTCCCAGGTGCTATCCAGCACAAATGGAGGTTCGTTTGATAAAACCCCCTCGGCCAATCCGTCACGCAGCACACCAAGTTTCTGTGATTTGCCTCTTCGTCCGGCTCGATGCCAACCGAAAAGGTTCCACAGTTCTGGTGCAATTCCCGGATGCTCGACGCCCTCACCCGCCGTAGCTATCGGTCGCAGCTCAAAAGCTACGGCTGATAACCAGACGAAAAACGAATCAAGACAAGTCAAGTAAAGAGTGTGTCCAAAAGTGCTATGGCGGCACCAAAAGCTTCACTCGCGCAACCCTTTTTGTCTTGAGCCAAAGCATTCAAGTCATCCAAGGCGAACTGAATGTTTGTTATCAGTGTCAACCCTGGAAACCTGATTCAAAGGGCAGTTCAAGCAAACATGAATTCCGGCAACAAGGTTGAATTAGACATGCATGCACCACCTACCATCAGGAAAATGTGGATTCCAGCAGGAGGCATTCTTCTAATCATAAGCCCAGTCAGGCCCAAAAAACAAAGCAACAACTGGATGTCTTACCAATGTGCGTGTTGAAACAGGGGGGCTGGAGAAACCAGACAACTGCAGCAACTACCCATCCCCAGTTTAGTTTGTTGTGGAAAAGCTATCGCATATGGGTATATATATATATATATATGATTTATTTATATGTGACTTATCATGATTCAGTATGGCCCTCCAGATTGATCCGAAGTTGACACTACGGTTTGTCATCAAATGTGGCTGTCAGGGCTTCGCTATTTTGAGACAAGGCCCTTCACTATATAACGGGTCCATGTCATCATCTATTGTAATATATGTATTATATACTCTTGATTCTCCTGGAACCTGCTAGTGGAAACCATCTTGGGAAGGAACGTCGGGAACCCCAAAGTTGCTGGAAGAACCCCCCCTGCAAAAAGTGAATAACTCTTTGGGGGTTTAGTGGAAAACCCAACTTGATTTCAACCAAATTTAAAAGTTAAAGTCCAAAGATCCAACCCAATAGCCACGGGTCGAAACCCAAATCGTACCCCCAGTGAACATCAACCAATCCCCACTAAAATAGGTTCTAACATGGGTGGTGAATTCACCACCCCAAAATGGGATCCCATTGGTCCGATTGGTCCGATTCGCCGTATCTCCCACGTCCCCGGTCCTTCAGCTGCGCGATGCGGCCCACATGCCCCGCAGGAGTCGCTGGAGCTCCTGAGCGAACGGCTGAGGCTCGGGACCCGTTTTGCAGCTTGGTAAGGACACGTGTTTGCCCAAGCCTGGAAATATAGGGCTTACCTTTTTCACTAAAAGTGGACCAAAACAGAAGACTTCTTGGTTCGATAGGCAGGGAATGAGGGAATGACCCCTATTGGAAATAGCCCTTTCTTGCTATTGATAAACCTTTCCTCAGAATAACCCCCCCCCAGCCAACCCGCCTTTTGGGGCAATCAAAAGTGGACCAACATAGAAGACTTGCGGGAATGAGCACGGCTGGAATCCCATTCCGGTTCATTCCTACCACCCAGAAGGTAATCCCCTTCCTACTGCACCACCAAGAAGAACCAGAGGGTGAAAAAAGGTCGGCTTTCACTTTGGACCAGCGAGGAAATCATTAGAGCAATACCCCCAACTTTGGGAAACCCAACATGTTCCGCATTTTGTGTTTCAAAATTAAGACAGACCCCACCAGTGGTTTCCCGTGTATTTTCCTCTTGAACCACATTGATCAATTTGGATCCCGTGAAAAACAAAGGCACATTAACAAGCTCCAGGGTCAGAAAGTACAACTCAAGGTTCTCCCATGAGGAGGCTGCTCTTAAATAATAAAAACAACATTGGCGGGTTTCATGTCAATCTGGAAAGTAGCGCAATGGATTCAATGGATGTATCAACGACAAGGGGTTCTAAATGGGTAGTACAAGGGAATGTCAAATAAGGGACGCAAGTAGAACCTCAGATTGGCCAAGCAAATGGAAACATCCCCCGTGAAGTGCAATGAAACCCAAAACGCATGGCTTTGCTGACTGAGCCATTTAACTTCTGAGCGAAGCATCCCTTCCCTTGCAACTCCTGTCGTCTCAAACGCACGCCCAAGCCACAACTAAAAGCACTCCCAAGGAGATCCGCAAAGAACCCCGCGAAGGGTTCCTAAAAGACCCCCAAGATACATCCTGATCACGCAAGTTGTGTTCGGGGAACAGTTCCAATTTGGCCTGCTGAACTTTGAATTCAGGACGCCCTTCAGGGATCGAGCGGGCCGCGTCCCTGAAGTGCCTGGGTAGCCACCTTGTGAGCTAGCGATCGAAGAAGAGGTCATCGTCCTCGCGTGCGCGTCCGAGCGGGGTATGCACATCGTCTTGGCGTTGAGGTCTCCGAGGGGGAGCCTAGTAGCAACTCTTCTGATTGTCTGATCCCGAAACAAAGCTGATGACCATCCCCATCTGCGCAGGTTACTTTTCGAGAAGAGGGACCCCCAAGTTAGGAACCTTCTCCATGGGTCAGCCTTCGTAATAGTTTGCCCATAAACCCGACCCGAGAGCAGAAATACTTTAGCCTCAGTTGGGGGCCTGAGGACCTCTCTTTCACCCTTTGTTTGCACCTTGTTTACTTCGGTTTGGACGTTTCAGTTCAGGGGCCCTGGTCGTAAAACTAATGAAAGAAGGATGTCGGGTATAAACCTTTAGCAGGTTCGCCTAAAGCATACATGTTGGCCAGTCAAAACAACATTTGTCCAGCTGATTTAGAGGAGCCCCCGTGCAAAGAGGTGTCTTTTTGGACGTATCCTTCAAGCAACCCTGATTAGGTTACGCAACTGTTCATTGGGTCTCAAGTTTGAGATGCTGAAATCAAACTTGGATCACAAAGGACACAAGGTCGAGATTGGCATTTTGTGATTCCATGAAAACGTGGCGCCGCCTGCCGATTAGGAAGCCCTCATTCCAAGTCCACCGGTGATGAAAACGACAGCTTCCAGTCAAAGAGACGCTGGGTGTGTCCGAAGGGCCCTCAAAGTTGATTTCGTTTCCTCTAGGTTTTCATTTCGATCCCCCCCAAGGTGGGCTGGCTATTTCAGGGGTCACTTTGTGAAGCGGTTGACAACATGGCGCTCGGATGCATTTAAGTCGTTTAAGCGGATCAATGGTAAATCTATCACAAACAAGTGGCTCCCTGTCTTGGGCATCAGCTATGCCCAAACACAGAAGAGACTATCAGCAACTAGAGGCCGTTTACCCTCCCATGGCTCCCCCTGCAAGTGGGCAGAGTTCATATTGACATGATGGGTGCTTCGCAAAACTTAGGCCACCTCCAGGTCGGCTTCCTTTTGGCTAACCTGAAAAATCCTGTGAAAATGGTGTTCTAGCAGCTTCGCAGCAACTTCCGCCCCTAGTGGCAAGACTCCAAGACGCCTGCGGAATTTACGTCAATGGTGGCTTCCAGCCATACGACCCAAAGGAAACTCATTGATTTGCCCCCCAAATGAAACATAGGCTACCAAACATCTGCAGAATGGAGGCACCATTGAGAACTGGATGTGCAATCGCAGCAAGAAAGGTGATCGTTTCAAACCAGCGTGGTAGTGGGGAAATCAAGGCCTATGGGAAGCTTTGATTCAGCCAGGCGCTAAGGGGCAACCCCCGATCAATGCACAGGGCTTAATGTCCCACCAAAGTATAGCACCAGTCTATGCGACCCTTCTCTCCTAGTAACCCCCAGGTTTCTGCGAGAAGACCAACATGCCAGGGAACCCCATGGCTGCGCAAGAAGACAGAACCAATGCTTGAACAATTGCGCATCCCTTGGTTTCCTTGTGGGCAAGTTCAGGGTTCTTGGCTGCCACTGCCCAAACTCATGGACCCATAGGTGTCCTTTTTGGACGATAGATGGCGCTGGTGGATGATTGAACCACTGGGACCAGGGCCCTCTATTTCACCAAACCATGGACCTCCCAGGCGAAGTCGTCGGCCTTCCAGGACCCAGGGGCCAGCACAACGTGGCTGCCCTCTTTGGTTCGGTTTTTTTGGGGTTGGATTACAGGGGTTGAAACCAAAACCGGAAACAAACCACTTGAAGTTTCCCCTAGTTCTGAGACAAACCCAAGAGGCCATGCGTTAGACAAAGGGAACCTTTTCAAAAGCCGGTGGTGGACATACAGCCCCTAGTTAAATGATGTCCACCAAAGGGTCCCCTGTGAATTTCGCCAAGTCGGGGACTCTGTCGGCGATGCCTCTGCAGATTGCCGCTGGACCCAGCAGCAGGCCTAGCAGCTGCCGCCCTGGGCGGAGCGGCCGTGGGCCTCGAACTTGCGCGCGCGGGCCATGCAGGGGATGGCGCGCGGCGCGGAGTATGCAAACATGATTGAAACCAGGAATTTGGCAAACGCATGTAGGTGTTACGTGTTTTGCCCCCTTCTGCGCGAGTGGAGTGGGGCGAACAAAGGACGCAGTCAGTTTCCCAGACCCCGAGTGGCCATGGAACAAACAGGTGTGTTTTCTTTGTGGGTTGTAAAAGAGGTAACCCCTTCAATAAAAAAGGAAAAAAACAACCCACGTTCCGAGATTTGTGCCCACTGACCTTCAGCGAGTCAAGTCCAGAATTTGGGATCTGCAAACCGAGGGCAAGACACCAAAAATGGTGTCGGTCGCGTTTGGCTTCCCCTGAAACCAGCCGAATGGTGGTTAGGATCGGTGGTGTGGTTGGGGGGTGGCCTCCCATCTCCACAAGAACCAGGGCTTCAAATCCCCAGGCCACAGCCACCAATTGAAGGGTACCTGATATACGGCGCTTCCACTGGAAAAAAAAAACACGACGGATGGCCCAAGGTCAGGCTGTAAGGCATGCGCCCGGCAGGTCGAGCGCCAGCCTGAGTGAAGTGGCACCTATCTTGGGGCCGGTGGGCTTGGTCCCATGTCTTAGCATGCCAGGTTATGATGAGGCGTTCCAGAACAACGACAGGAGAAAAGAAAAGAAGCGTTGAAGGGCCCAACGCAACGACAGGAGAAAATAAAAGAAGCATTGAACACCTGGAACTATGTGACTTCATAGTTTGACTTGGAGGTGGGCCCAAAGCAACGACAGCAGAAAAGAAAAGGACATTGAACACGTGGAACTGCATGATCTGAAAACTTGACTTGGAGCTGGGCCCAAAACAAGGACAGGAGAAAAGAAAAGAAGCATTGACCACGTGGAACTCTGCATATGGTCTGAGAATTTGACGCGGAGGTGGGCCCGAAACAGAATAAAATAACAAATATTGAACACATGGAACTATGTGACCTCGTAGTTTGACTAGGAGGTGCAAAACAAACGACAGGAGAAAATAATAGAAGCATTGAACACGTGGAACTATGTGATCTAAGAATTCGACTTGGAGCGGGCATTGAACACGTGGAACTATGTAACTATGTGCTCTGATAATTTGACTTGGAGGTGGGCCCCAAGCAACGACAGGAGAACAGAAAAGAATCTTGAACACCTGGAACCATGAGCTATGTGATCTAAACATTTGACTTGGAGGTGGGCCCAGAACAACCACGGGAAAAAGAAAAGAAGCACAGAACACGTGAACCTATGCAATCTGAGAATTTGGCTTCGGTGTTGATCTGAGAATTTGACTTGCCCGAAGCAACGACAGGAGAAAGACAAAGAAGCATCGAACACGTGGATCTATGCGATCTGAGAAATTGACCTGGAGGTGGGCCCGAAGCAAGGACAGGAGAAAGCAAAAAAGCATTGAACACATGGAACTATGTAACTATGTGATCTGCGAACTTGACTTGGATCTGGGCCCAAGACAACGACAGGAGAACAGAAAAGAAGGATTGAACCCGTGGAACTATGTAATCGTCTTTGAGGTGGGCCCAAAACAATGACAACACAAATGAAAAGAAGGATTGATCAGTGGAATTCTGTGATCTGAGAATTCGACTTGGAGGTGGGCCCAACACAACGCCAGAAGAAAAAGGGCATTGAACAAGTGCAACTACGGAACAACGTGACCTGAAAAGTTTAACTTGGAGGTAGGCCCAAAACAACGACAGGAGAAACAAAAGGAAGCATTGAGCACGTGGAACTAGTAACTCTGTGATCTAATAATTTGACTTGGAGGTGGGCCCAGAAAACAACGACTGGAGAGAAGAAAGTTGGCATTGAACACGTGGAATTATCTGAGAAATTGACTTGGAGGTGGGCCCAAAACAGAAGAAACAAACACATATTGAACACATGGAACTATGCGACCTCATAGTTTGACTTGGAGGTGGGCCCAAAATAAGGCCAACAAAAAAAACACATTGAACGCGTGGAACTATGTAGCTATGTTCTGAAAATTTGACTTGGAGGTGGGCCCAAAACAGCGAACAAAGAAAAGAAAAGAAGCATTGAACACGTATGGGATCTAAGAATTTGAGTGGGAAGTCGCCCAAAACAACAACAGAAGACAAACAAATAACAACTGAACACGTGACTGTGCATTTCTGCCATCGGAGACATTGACTTGGAAGTGGACCCAAAAAACAGGACAAGAAAAGAAGCATTGAACACGTGGAACTGTGTACTTATGTGATCTGAGGATTTGACTTGGAGGTGGGCCCAAAACAACGCCAAAATAAAAGAAACAACATTGAACGTGTGGAACTACGTAGCTATGTGATCTGAAAATTGTACTTCGAGGTGGGCCCAAAATAGCGACCTGAGAAAAGAAAAGAAGCATTGGACGCGCAGAACTACGTGATCTGATAACTTGACTTGGAGATGGGCACAAAACAACGACAGCATTGAGGTGGGCCCAAACAATGACCAGAGAAAAGAAAAGCAGCATTGAACATGTCGAACTATATGATCTGAGAATTTGTCTTGGAGGTGGGCCTAAAACAACGACAAGAGAAAAGGAAAAGAAGCAACAAAACACGTCGGAACTATGTGATCTGAGAACTTGACTTGGAGGTGGGCCCAAAACAACGACATGAGCAAAACTATGTGATCTGATTAGTTGACTTGGAGGCGGACCCAAACAAACAGCAGGAGAAGAACAGAAGCAGTTGTTAGGGACCCCCCCCAAAAGAAAAAGCAAACACAGGAGCCTCTTCTTTTTCAATGATTCCAGTGAAATAATTCCACGTTTTTTAAGGACACTTTCCGGTATCCCATATGTGGGGGCAGGGAACCCCTTCCTGACCCTTGATTATGAGCCAGGGGAAGCCCGCCCCCCACAAGGATGGGACGAGGATTGCCAACTGGGGCTTGGCTTGTGCAAGATCCCGGGAACTGGGCAGTACCGCCTGAGAAGCCGATGGAGTTGTGCTAAATGCCAGCTGAACCGTATCCTGTTCGTATCCTGTTCGTGTGCATATTTGGAAGCCACCCAACTGAGGACCAGCACGCTAGCTGGCCAAAAAGGTAGCCCGCAGCAATCAAGCCTTGGCAAGCCTTGGTTTGAGCCATGCTTGGGCCATACTTCAAGGGTACAATCCCCATGCACCTGTTCAATTCACTCTCAGCCACAAGCTAGAATTCGGAATCAAGTGAGGACCCTTCTTGAGTGAGCTCACCAGTTCTCTAAAACATAATTTTCTTCCACGCAACAAGAGCCGTGGGCACAGTATGGCAAGCCCTTCCCCCGCTCATTGCCTCCTGGACCCTCTGGAGCCGGCTCTATCCCGCTCTGGGCGTCCGGCTGCACCAGGGACGCCCTTGCCACCTCCAGCAAAGTCAGCCGAAATGCAAACCTGACCTTGGTTCCTGTCGACCCCATCCGCAAAGGGGAAAACTTTTTGTGGGTCCCGCGGAAAATCCCACGTTTCTCAAGAAGTCAGAGGCCAAAGTGACTGTCAGTATCTCCGCAGTTTGCTGGTGTTGTTTGCAGTCCTTGCATTTCAGCAAAACTGTTGGACCCTGTGCCATTCTATCCTCCAGCTCTTCTTCGGGGTATTCTGGCCCCTTCATTTGTCGCCCAGCTATGGTTTACACAACGGTCTTCTTTGAGGGTCGGGCGGATTCCGCCTTTGCCCAAACCTGAAGTGCACAGTTCCCTTCCAGGAAACTCGCCGGAGTTCAGCTCAATGACCAACTGTGTCACTGGGCAATTGACAAGATTGACTCACTCCGCTTCAAAACTTCAAAAGCGTCGTTCGTATGTCACAATGCTCTCTAAGGTGGGGGAAGGGGCCTTCATGGGTTTCCGGGCGTGCGCCGATCTTTCTGGAGCCATCCCTCCCTTGTGACATCCGGGGTGAACCTCTGAATGATTTCAACCGCTGCTGGGTATGGCTTTTGAGGATGCCCTGTTCGGGGTCGCGATTATAAAGGTGCAGCCGGGGTTCCCTCATTTAGGGAAGCTTCCTCCCCAAGCGAAAATGAAGGAAACCATCGCTCTAGGGAAAAACAAAAACCGCTTTGCTGGGAAGAACAACATGAACATGCAATTGTGGTTTCCTTTTAGGATGCTTACACTCAGATGCCCAGTGGCCATGGGAAAGAAAAGGGCACCCTTTGTTGTTGGTCGACTTTAAAGGGCAACCCTTCCCCCAAAAAAACAAAACAAAAAGGCACCACTGGGCAACAAAGTGCATAAAACCCACGGGCTCCACGGCAAGACGCGGCTTCACCGCCCCACCGACCCCTTGGCGTCCGCCTGCCGGCGAGGCGGAGGGCGCGGCGCTCTTCGGAGAGGCAGCGACCTCCTGAGGCGATGGATTCGCTCGACGGGGACGCCCCGGGCAACGCGGTATGTGGGGGGACGAGGCGATGGCTTCAGAAAACAACGGTTGATCAATAGGAGTGTCCCCTTTTGCTGGGGATCCATCCTTTGGATGGGATTGTTTCCCTCGAAAAAGAGAAAGGACACACCAAAACGGGTTGATCAATAGGGGGTGTCCTCAGATCCCCCGCCAAAAGTTGAACTTTTGGTGGGTTAAATGGACATCCCCACTACACACTAAAAGGCAAAAAAGCTAAGGGGATGGCTGGGAGCCACCAAGCAATAGGGGGTGTCCCCTTTTGGTGGGGATCCAGCGCTTTTGAATGCTTTTGATGGGAATACCCCCCTAGTAATAGGACGGCTTCATCAATCTGGGTCAACAGTACTCTTCAAAACCAAACTCTGCAGCACTACGTTGTCAAGCATCCAGAAAACAAAACGAACAAATCGCCTAGCCCGTGTGTCTAATTGAAACAATCAAATTTAGCAACACTATCAACACCACTAGAGGCCCTTTCTTGAGGGCTTAAAGGAGGATCCCGCCAATAGTCCTAAGTTCTTGTGGCAAGCGTTTCAGTTGTACTTACCCCGCATGGTCAAAGTTGGGACGCACAAGTCCATGGCACCAACCTGCCCCCGGGCCGGCGCACTGACCGCATGTGGACAGTTGACCCAGGCCCGAAGAGTTCTGTGAGGAAACGCAATATGTCCAAATGTCCAAATGGCCTGAACCCAGATTGCGCACTGCAACCATGGAAACTTTGCGTTTCCGGAGAGCTGACCCCGCACAGTTCTGTGAGGAAACAAAAATGTCATGTCCCTCCCTTCAGAAAGCAGGGGCTTTCGGGGCATCCCTGAGCTTGGGGTTGATCGGGTTCAGGTTGATCACTCCTTGGCCTTGGTTGGGCTGCTGCTGGGCTCATGGAGGTGTTGTAGCCGCCGCTGCTCCCGCTCATAGGCATCTATCAGCTCCCTGGGGATGGAGCGCTTCACCTGGCCCCAGGTTCCAAGGGGCCAATCCCGAGCAGGCCGGAGCGAAACACAGCACTCAGTTGCCCAGTTTGTACCTGGAAATAAAAGGTTAACCTTTTGGGGACACTAAACATGGACCAAATCAGGGAAACCAAAAGGTTAAAAGGTCGGCTTTGGGCAAGTGAGATCAAGTCGGCCCGGAATGTGGGCTTCCCTTTTAGTTCCCCTTGAAGCACATCTGAAAAGGGCACCTTCAATATCAAAACAAACACTCAAGCCCTCTTTGTCTGAATGCTAAGCAGGGGCCTGGAAAGAAGTTCATGCAGAAATCACCCCATGCTTGGCTAAGCGGACTGCAGTAACGCAGTAACGCATGACCCTTTTGGCTTCCGCTACGGGAGGGGGGGAATGAACAAAATTGGCTACTTAACGCCCGCTTCCTAACAGTGTTCGCCATAAGGTCCAAAGGGCCTGACGGACTGTGGTCTAGGGCGGTCCACATCTGGGCGCTTCGGCTTCCCAACGACCCCGGAGAACCGCGAGCACCGCGCCTCCACCCATTTCTTACTCAGGTAATGCTCCTCGTACTTCTCCAAGCAGGCATCAACTGCCTGGCGGTTCCGGATCCCGTCCTTCTTGCACCGGGGAGTTAAGGCACCCCGCCCTCCCACCACAGCATGTGGCATCCGCGGAAGCCGCAAACGCGCTCAAAATCCTCGGGCTTTCGTCTGAAACACCGCCGGAGTGCTGAGTTCTGAAACAAACCAGCGCCATGATGTGTGACCAGCCCCACGTTTTTAACGAAGAAATGCTCGCTCGCACGCCTCCACCGTGTCATAGGTGATGTATCCAAATCCACGCAGGGCGTGTAGCTCCACTTTGGTGATCGTGCCATAGGCGGCGAAGCATTGCCTAAATTGCTCCTGCCCAGTGACTCGGTTCACGCAAACCGCGAAGGGATTCTAAGGGGGCTTGATTACCAGCATCGCTCAACACGCTCGGGGGCCTTTGGCTATGATGCGTCCAGCGCAGTTGGCCGCATGACAGCACCGCCGCCAGAACACACGCCAACAAACACCTCACCACGGCGCAGCACAGCATAGCACAACACACCAGCACTCCTTTCCAAGAAGAGCAAACACGCAAACACACCAACAAACACACACACACACACACAAATAAACACCAACACCAACACCAACACCCACTTCTGAACAACATACACACCTCCGCACAAACTACTTATATACTTACTTGCTTGCTTGCTTCCTTACTTACTTGCTTGCTTACTTACGTACTTACCCACTTCCTGATGATTTCCTTGCTTAACTTTTAACTTACTCACTTACTTACCTACTTCATGACAAACCTACACACCTACGGACCTACACACACCAACACACTAACACACCCACGCAAACACACACACACAAACACCAAAACACACACGCGCACACACTTCCTTCCTGAAACACATACGCACCTACACACACAAGAACCACACCAAACGACACATCATGACACCACGCTGCACCACGCCACACCGAACCAGCGCCACACTGCACCACACCAGACTGACCACACCACAACGCACCACGCCGACACAAGCGCGCACACACACACACACGTGTAAATCATCACGCTTAACTGCGCCATTTACTGTGAACCGCTGCGTGTGGAATGAAACTGATGCACAGCTCGCCACAATTTGAACAATGTGTTCAAGAGTCACTTTAGTGGACCCAGGAAGCCCTTGGCTGTTTCAACCGCCCTTTGCATTTAGTCAATGTGGACTTTGAGACTCCTTTGCTTTCTTTAAAACGCCCTGCTTGGAGTAACTTGCCCATTCTTGCCGGTGATCATTTTTCCAAATACGGGGCAACGGCTGGTTTCTGAAAAGAACGATGGTTGAACAAAGCAAGCAGCTCAACAAACCAACTGACTGAAACGCCAAAGCACGAGCCCAGAGCAGCTGCTGTTGGGATTCGTTGTCGGGCTCACGCTGCCCGGAGGTTTGCGGTTTGGGCTTCAGGGATCCCCCCCTTCATTGCTAATGTGGAGGTCACAAGGTCCCTGGCCATTGCAAGGTTGCACCCTGAGCTCGCTTGGCGGATTATCTCTGGGCCCTTTACCATAGGCCTTGCATCCTTTTTCATGAAACCAGGGTTGCCGGATATTGCCGGATGCAGCGCTAAAGCATTCACAAGACACTGTTTGAGGCCACGGCAAGCGGGAAGCCGACAACAACCCAAGCAGAACGTCCTCCGTCACAGTGATGGGCACTCCACCTACGAAGATCTTGTTTGGCACAAAGCCGCCAAGATTCCTGGACCACGAAAAGCGCGGAACTGGGTATGAGCTCAGTCAAAAGCGGGGGGGCGAGGGGCGAGGGTCTCCTGGAGTGACAACACCACTTGAGGAGATCAGGACTGAGCATCGCCCTCCAAATGATGTTCTGCTGCAGACAAACATGCTGGCTAAAAAACCGCCAGTGTGTGGGGGAATCTCCCTCTGGGGACCCTCTTTTTGGGTCCATGTGAACTTGTCGGTAAGTTGCCTGGAGTGGCCCTCTCCCTCAATGGCCGACGAGCTTAGTTGATCCCACTGTCCCCCCCATAAACCCAAAGACTGAAAGAGGTCGGCTTGCTTCGGGCTCACAGCAAAAGGCCATGCATGCTTCTGTACTCTCCTGAACATGACCTATCACAAGCGCAGTCTAAAGGCACAACCCACCGAATTAATGGGCCACTTGTATGAGCCCCATACAAATAGGCCTCTAAGGGTCCCACGTGGATGTCCTTAGCAAGGTGCTGTGCAATGATCAATGGAAAGTTGGGCCGTAGGGTCTTGGGCTATGAATGAAACAGGGGCCAGAGTTCGCTGGACCAAAGCGACCCTTGCGGCTTGTGGGAAGTCGCGTCCTTAGCGAAACACATCGTCAGAACAAGGATGCACGCAAGTCCACCATGATCAATCCAACCCTGCGCACGCTGCTTTCAACCTGCCTCATACATCCTACGGAGATTCAAACCTTTTGACTGGTCCTTGCCTTGTTCTGTTGTCACATTCATCAACTCAAGCCGCTGCACGCCCACAATATGCCAAAACCCCACTCTAGAGAACAACCAAAAGGATGAGCGATTAGATTCCCCGAAAACCATCAACAAGGCTCTTCTTTCTCCTACGTTTTTTCCATCTCCTCCATGGATCGGGCCACCAAATGACCACCACCAGTGCTTGGCCGCCTCTATGTGGCCATCAAGGGAGTTCTAGACGTCTTGATTGAAGGTTGCTGGCTTGATCACCAGCCAAAAAAATCTACCCACCACGGAGCATAAACCCAGCAAGCTGCAAGCCCAAGTAGGACCTTCTTAACCAAAAGGCGGAAAAAAAAACTCCGCGGCTTCTCCGCCTTGCAGCTTGTGCAGCTATGCTCATACTGGTGGTGACTGTCGCCTTGGGCTTAGCGCCTGGCGGGAGCAATTCGCCGCTTGGACCAAGTTGCCGAGGAAAGACGTCTATCAAAGGGGTCCTGTTAGCTTCCATATTTGCTTGAACAAGAAATCCTACAATGTTGGTGGATTATCCATGAGCGGGAGTAATAAAGGTGAATACTAGGGGAAACCTGAAAAAAAAAAACTGAAAAACAAAGGATTCAGGGGGACATGCCTGTGGGTGGGGGGCCCCCATGTCCCCCTGAATCCTTGGTTTTTCAGTTTGTTTTTCAGTTTGTGTTCTGTTTTGTTCAGTTTTTCCAGTTTGCTTCCTTGAAGAGATGCCCTTACGCAATCATAGTGCTTGGTGGCAGCCATGGCTGCCAAATGAGACGCTGTTGACAGATGCAGGCAGTGGGCCTGAAAAGTGTGTGTTCTGGCAGATGCAGGTTTTCTTCTCGATTCCTTCAAGACGGTGCACCACTTCACTTTGTTTCGGGATGTATGTCTTCGCCAGCTTGGGGGTTCCAGATGTTCAAAAAAAAGAGGGTCTGCAACCTATGTCATGAGCCATCCCCTGTGGTTCGCTTTTCGTTCGGAGTCCCTATGTTCAGGAACCTATGAGCCGTCCCCACTGTTCCAAAAAAACGAGAATGAACACACGTCCCAATTGTCCCAATCGAGAAGCTCGATGTGAGAAACCTAGCCATCCATCCCACACGGTAGCCGCCTGCCGGGCTGGTGGGCGCTAGTGGCCGTGCAGGCGCTCCCATGTTTGGAGGCCTCGACGGCTACGGATCGCCCGAAAGGAACATTTCATCCAGAGAAGGGACCCACCTACGCTCCAGGTGAAAACATGTCCTTCTGGGGTCCAACTGGGCGCAGACTGTGGCACGCTAGTCATTGAACAGGGCTCCTAAGATGCTTCGTTGGCCCCAAAAGCAACGCTTTTGGGGATGAATGTTCCACTCTGCAGTGAGGTTTCTGGAATCCCTTCTGACAGACCCTCCCAATTGACATGGAACCCGACAGGGGGGTCCTGGGAGACCATTTTCCTGAAGGGACCCTCTGTCAGGCTCCATGTTAATTGGCGGGAGGGTAGTCTCCGTCTATCTTGCGGCGCGCTCATCGATTCGTAACTAAAACCAGCTCATGATGCATCTGCGCCAATTGTAGCCGGCAAGTACACGTGGACACTCCGGTTGAACAGCCGAAGGGATGTTCAAGATTTTGCCAGGTACCGCCTTCTGTAAGCTTGCTGTAAAAGTCTTGCGAATCAGCGCGGGCTGACTTTCCAAATAAGGGCGTCGGAAGAACAAAAAGATTTGCCATCCACTTGTGGCTGTGGTCTTTTTGATATGTTGGTGGCCTTGGGGAAGGCAAGGGGTCTGCAAAACCAAAGCTCCATAGCTCCATCCCCTAGTGGGGTGAGTTTTAGTTTGTTGTTCAGCAGATGGGTCTGACAAGCCAATACGCACGTGGTCTTGTGCAAAGTCAGGGGGTTCTACAAAAAGTCATGCCCCCGTTCCCCCGCGATTTCTCCGGAGAAAAAAAAAGAAGAAAAAAGAAGAAACACACGGGGCACGATCTTGATTGCCCAGGCTCCCGAAACATTCTCTTGGTACAAGAAAACCTAGATTTCGCACCATGGGCTCAGACCTGAGGACCTGAGTTCGGACAAACTTAGTGCCCAGGCCTGCTCCAGGCACTGCCGACCTCGGCGCTTCCTGGCGCGGAAGCCAAGATGAATTGCACTCCGAAACCCAGCAAGAAGTGCGAAGGTGAGGTCAAAACGGCAAATAGGCCCGGATCCATTTTTTGGGTCCCCTGGTGGTTTTGAGGTGCGGTTATGTTTTGTTGGGTGGCTTTAAAGGGAATTGGCAAGGGAATGAGGAATTTTGATTGTCTCAACAGTTTGAGGTACACCCTGTGTTGCAACAAACAACTTCTGTGTGTTTGGGCAAGCTTCACGACACTCAAGCAGGCACAGCATCAATAAGCCAAGAACTTGCCGACCGCAAGAAATAAGACTGTACCACCGCGCCGACCCGAGCATATTGATGCTACAGTTGGTGCAAACAAAATTCCAACAACAAGGCTGAAGCCCCCCCCCCCCCCCCGCGTCAGTGTCCCTTGAACAGGACCTTTTAGGCCTGCACCCCGGTCAACTCACAAAGGCTAAAGTTCAGCCAGCAGTCAACCCACTGGCTGACTGGACCCAATTGGGGAGAGGCTCCCGGCCCAAAACGGGGGCCTCTCGGACAGGGTGGTGGACCTTCAAAGGAGCGGGACCCCAATCTGATAATACCAACTTTGGGCCATGGGCCATCGGCACTATGCCGATGGACCTCTATGCTCCTCAAAACCAACATGGGCAGCTTGGAAGTTGTAAGATCTTTCACCCGACTGCGCCCATGGGCCAAAAACCGCAACGCCTTGCCTGACTTCGCTGGCACAGCCTGGCCGCGACAGGCCAACTGTTGAAATGTTGGCACGGCAAACACAGGGCCGTCCTCGATCGCCAGGGGACTTCCTTCTGGAATTAACTCGAGCGAATAATTAGGATTGAGGATTTCGTCTTGATACCCCCCTGAATGTTCCAAGAGCCCTTGAGCCCTCCCCTAATTTTCCCGGAACAAGGGTATATGGATGGTTAACTCAATTGGTCCAAGGATTTCTGCTTAGGGAGGCCAAGCACATTTGCAGGCACCAATCTAGGGGTACTAAAAAACAGGCCTTGGCGAATGGTCGATTCACAAAGTCTTGCAGCAATATTGCTGGGAGGGCGAGGTGCCATGGGAGCCTATTCTTGCATGCATGTGCGTTTGGAATCTGTAGAACTGCAGGTCACGGCAGAAGTATCTATGAGGCATCAGCCACACCCAAAGTGCCACTCAATCTGAAGCATACAGCTTGTGGCATGCTGTGTGGCCTCCACAAAGAGGCTTTCAGGCAGTGCTAGCGCTGCAACTCTCAAACGATCAAAACAAGCACTCGCCTCTGCAGTCCTATGCTCAAACCATGGAACGCCCCTCTGTCCCCTACCCCCGAAAAGTGCGGCTCAAATGGACTGAAGTTCTGAAGGCTTGCGATGTACGACTCTACTTCTGCGCACTGTGATACGGCCAGTGGGGTGTTACGTGTATATTCGCGGGCCAGCCTTTTATGCCAATTGCTGCATGGGGTGCATGTCCCATCCATATCGTCGGTCGGCACAAATGCGACCTATCATCATACAACCATACCAGTTGTATAGTTGCTGTATTTACCCTGTACTATACCGTTGTAAATGATATGTTGTCGTGCTGTGGCAATTGCGGTTCTAGAGTGGCCTGTGGGAAAGACTAGGGTGCTAAAAAAATCGAACTAAAAAACAATACCCATCCACTTTGAGTTTTCTCCCTGCAGCAACCAAACATTAAGGGCCATTAGCGCCCAGTGATTGTTCACCCCCTTTGTGGCTCCAAATTATGCGAGGAGTGCATGGTAGGGCACCCCAATTTCCTTCAAAAACCTAGCGGTCCCAAAACAGGGTGCATCCAATCGCGGCGTTCCTTGCGGACAATCATACATTTTTGTTGGCCCACATCTGGGGCAATCACGCAGACAACAATATACTCTCACTCTCTTTCATGGTTGTTTATTCCAACCTGAAATGCCCAATCATTCTGGAGAAGACCCCAGAAACACTCCGGGCGTTTTGAGCACGTCACCGGCCTGGCCCCCAACCACGCGCCCCAAACCCGTGGGCCTCGTCAGCCTTCCTCGCTTTGGGCGGCATGGCTCCCGGCTGGGCCCCGGGCCGGTCCCACGAGTCAGGAGCCAAGACTTGCCGCTGAGCCCTGACTGCAACCGGCACTTCCCTCGTTGACCCAGGATGAATAAACCCGTCCCAGTACTAGGGGGTTCCCTCCAAAAGTGGTCTGAATCCCCAATAAAAGGGGACACCCCCCTATTAATCAACCTGGGGGTTATTAATTCGGGGTTAGCAGTATTCCACATGGGAATGTGGAAACCGATGTTCTGGGTGCGTCCCCCAGTTTGGGCGGAAATCTTTGAACCCACGTTACATGGAAACTAGCTTCATTGGGTGCGTCCCCCGTTCGGAGATCTTTGGAACCCACGTAACATGGAAACTTGTATATTTGGGTGCTTCCCCCAGTTTGGCAGTTTTTGAAGCGTCACCCAAGCTGCAATAAAAAGCAAACAAAATATATAATGGCGCACAAAGCAATCCCGCGACATTTCAGGATGAAACAGTCGGAGACAAGTTAAGCACATACGATGCGTGAAGGACACTACTATGTGAAGATAGGACAGTGTCAAAACAGGGGCTGCCTCCAAAACACACACACATGTGTGTGTGTGTGTGTGTGTGTGTGTGTGTGTGTGTGTGTGTGTGTGTGTGTGTGTGTGTGTGTGTGTGTGTGTGTGTGTGTGTGTGTGTGTGTGTGTGTGTGTGTGTGTGTGTGTGTGTGTGTGTGTGTGTGTGTGTGTATTTGTGCCTGTGCGTCTGTGTGTCTGTGCGTCTGTGGGTCCGCGCATGCATGCTTGCGTGTGCGCTCATGCTGCACCACATCGGCTTAGTTTGCAACCTGTCCTCGAAAAAGGGGCTCAGTTGAGATGCATGCCCACATTGACGAAGTGCACAACTATGCCAGGGGACAACGATGAATGAATATGGCACCCCTGGCCAGGAAGCGTAAGCAGCTACGCCTTTGTGCACCAAACTCATAAAATGTGCTGGCAGCTTTGAGGCATGCGGCGCGAAAAGGGTTGAAAAGCGCCGCCAGGTGCGCTGCTGTACATTCCCGGCGGCATGGAAAATGTGACAACTGGCACCGAGGCCAGTAGACACTCGCCTAAGAGTTCTCGAGTTTCGGTGGTCGCAGCCGCCACTGACAACTGCATCCACCCCGGCCGTCCCAACCGAGGTGCTTTTACGTGATGGGCCCTCAGCAATCAACATTCCACAAAACACTCACGTCAAAGACCGGGCTGAAAACCAAAAACACGCGCTGTCTCAGGCAGGGGGTGGTCGCTAAGCACCAAATTAAGCACAGCATCACTGTAGCCGCCTTAGTTCCAGCGAGGAGTCTGCCACTGTTCAAGGCACCCACATGGCTGAGTGATTCGCATGAGAAATCACGATGCCCAGCGAACCCTGCACCCAACTTGATGTCAGCAGCCGCGTCTTCATAAATTCCATCCGGTCCAAGGTTCCAGGTTGCTACCGAAGCACATGGTCAGTGTCTGGAACTCAAAACTCAACAGCACTTCCTGTGCTGCTTGCTGCCCACCAAGCAACAATATTCTTACAAGTGCAAGTCCTTGAATTTCTTCAAACAGCATTCTGCCCAAAATCAGCTCGCTCAAAGCTGGTCCCGAACATGCTGAAGATGTAATTGCGGGAAATAGTTCAAACGAGAATCCATGTCATCCAAAGGAAGGACCGATCCAGTGAACTGTCAGGAATGGATATCGAAGTATGGAGCTTGTATACCACTCTTGTCTTATGTACAGGGCATATACTGCCTTGCAAGCTTGCTTGGTGACACGCAAGCCTCTTGCCTTGCCATGGGGAAGCCAAACAATCAAACAAAGGGTACTGAATCTTTTGGGGCTGTTAAAAAGGGAAACCAAACACACATATACACACAATCTGTTATTCTATGCTTGTCAGGGGTCTACATAATTTTCTGTGCTTCGGACCGCGGAATGAGGCTCCAGGCTTCTGCACAAAGTAGAGGCCGTCGAAGGTTCGATGCACGCGCAGGTCCTTGTCAACGTACAGCAGCCTGGCACATCTTTTCCCTGCCCGACACTGGCGAAACAAGAACCCCCTTCACAAACCAATATTTCAATTTAAGTGGGGAACCCAACAAAAGGGGAACACTCAACAACGGACTTTTGTCAGGAAAAAAATTGGGTTGCAACCAGGCGCAAGTGGGACTCCCCCGCGCCAACTTAGATTCATCAGCACCATGGCATCTTAGATGCAGAACGCACAGCGAAGTTCAATTCCTGACATGGGTGTCTTCTTTAAGGGTACCTGCTTTGTGGAGCCTGACACCCATGCTAATCAATTACTGGTGGGATGGAAGGTGCCTAAACTTTTACTAGGGCGTTGATTTGGCGTGCGTTCCTTTGCAGCGAGGCAATTTCAACAGCAAACCAGCGGAGAAAACAACAAAAACACAACGCCAGGCGGACGGCGATGGATCGGACCGTATCTCGCTCTCGCGACTGTTCTCCTGGGAGCCTCAACCAGGTTTGCCCCAAAGCACCCACCAGCGGCTGCCTCTTGGAGAGCACTTAGGCTCGACATGGAACAAAAAACAGCGCTGGAAGCTGGAGGGTGCTCTGTTGTTGCAAATGAATAGTGTTAACCCGGATTAATCAACCCCAGTTTGTTTATAGCGGGTGCCCCAGGTTCTGGTGGGGAATCCCCACTTTTGGAGGAACTATCCCGTGAATACAATGCCTTCTACTCAGATCCGGGGTCAGCATTACCCGAAAATTGGGTGTCTTTTTAAAACAAAGACCCAAGTTGCGGTTTTCCTCTTGAACTCCCTATAAACCCAACCCAAAAAGGGTGCCCTCAAAAAACCCGACACCAGAAACGGCCAGAAACCCCTTGGGTTGCAGGGCTCGTTATTTTTTTTTGCACGCGGCCGGGCGTGTCCTGAAGCCAGCGCCGCGGTCGCTCGGGTTCACCTGCAAAGACGGCTGGGCGTGTTTTCAGGGGACGCCTTGTTGGGTGTTTTAAAGGGGGCCAAACGGAGAACTACAATTTTAGAGGTCCGAGGTCCGATTCCTGCAGAGGACAGCCCAACTGTGCTCCAGCAGCCCAGCTGTGCTAGGTCAGGTTCCCACCAACCAACACGTAAAGAATCACAGTCGCTCCCTTCTCAAAAGTACCAAAGTGGCCTGCAGTCCAATCCATTTCAAAAGTTCACCACTTTGCCCCGGGCGAGCTCAGCATTCATGAGACAAAAACATGCATTCATCATCCTGCTGGTGCATTTCCGTGTCCGTATCTCCAGTGGGACGACCGAAGCCGTGCACTTTCATGATGACATTTGATGGAAGGCATGGCGCCAATCGAAAATCTGACAGCACGCAAAGCACTCCGTCCAAATGGTGGGTTCCTACCCTTGCAAGGTCGTCAGACCTTTGCACCTTCGGCTTGAGACTATTAGCCACCTTGTAAAACTCGGGTAAATACGCCGCCTTTCATATGGGATCAACTGCCCCGTCAACCTTCGAGAAGTGACCATAGTCTAGCTTATGCTCAATGAACCAAAAAATGACCTTTTGGGGGGCGTTACTGAACATGCACCGAGGCCAAATGCAATGAACACCTGATGTTGCCCGGATTCATCTGGCAGATTCATGGGGTAGAACTCCCCAAAAGTGGTCTGAGTCCCCGCTGAAATGTGTTGCATCCGCCATGACTCGAGCACAGCTTGATTAATTTCGGGGCTCGCATTCTTCAGCTTGCCATATTTCCTATGCAATACTTGTGCCGGCCAGGCCATGGGTTTCCTCACGACCTTCTTACCCAGGCTGATTTGTTTTGTTGTGGATGGACACAAATCCGTTCAAGGAACCGAACCCCCCCCCCCCCCCCCGGCTCTAATTTCATAGACCACCGACTGGTACCACTGGATTCTATCCATAGACGTCGCCTTGCCGCCCTTGGACCGCGCGAAGAGGCGGCCCACGCGGCGAAGGAACCCGGGGCCTCGCTGCTGGCTCTCAGCAGGGAATGAGTTGGAATGACCCCTATGAATGATTCCCTGGATCATTCGCGCCTGAGCACCAGCAAGTTTGGTTCCCCCGCGTGAAAATGAGTGAGCCTCTTTGAACAAGTCCCTATTCAACTTCTCTCCATGCTTCTTCGAAATTTCCACATGGACTTTGGGACGGAGCATGTTGACCGAACCTCGTGCTTCAGCTTTTGTTGGTTTCAAAGTGCAATAACGCCAAAGGGTTTCGGCTACCTCCAACAACAAACGCACCCATGTTTCCAGGCAACCTGGACGGAAGTTGACCTCTTTCACGGGCTGTATACCTCGACGATACCAATTCATAAGCTTCAAGCTCGGTCCGTGCGCTCACCGTTTCTTGGCCAAACTCGGGGCCGCACAAAGATGTTGATGCATTGGTCAAAAGAAGACCTGAAGGAGACCTAAAACCTAAAGGAACCACAGCGCACAAGAAATCGTTGTGTTTCTTGCAAAAAAAAGACCTTTGCCCTTCAAGCCCTCCAAAAAGGGGCCCGAGCGGGGTCAGTCCAGCTGGGCCCCCGCTGGGCAGAGGTATGGTGATCTTGGGGAAGAACCTCGGCTGGAGCGGTCCGCTTTTTGCCCAGGCCGTCATTCTTTTCGAGGGGTGGGGGAGATGGCTTGGTGCACTTGGAGGAGACACCAGATTTGCGGAGACCCGTCTCGAAACTCGGGTGGCTTTGCAAAAGCGAGCAAACGCGTGCATAAGCACAAGCATCGAAACCCAAAACCTGACTGCGTCAAGGCCACTGTCTTCATTCGGATGCCTGGAAAAGTGAGGGTACCCGAGCCGGGCTAGGTATGGAGCAACATCCGCTCCCGATGGCACAAAGCCATGGGTAGAACTGATTCTGCCCATCGCGCATGTCGTGCTCACGCACGTTTACCAAGGGCTAACATGCTCGGCGCACGTGTCCCCCAAAACGAGTTCCTCCAAGCACGACCACTGCTTATACTTGCCCTGACATGCGGCAAAATAACACTTTCAACCTGTGGACAGCCCCCAGAGCAGCAGGGGAGTTGCGTAGGCGCCCTGACACGTTCTTCACAAGAAACAGGTACCAACAAACAGGCTCAAATGGAATGACTAAAGCGCGCACATGCACATAGCCTTTCATACACAACATACATTGCTCCTTGTGTTCTCTTCCAAAAAAAGTCTCGTTCGAAGGCGTGCGGATCGAGGGTCAGGTTAACCAAAAGTCCCCAACACTTTTTGGGTGCTCCGCTGGGATCCCCACCGGGAGCGCCGCAGCAATCTGACCTCGGAGGGCTTTTGGACCCCAGCGTTCGCACCCATGTCGGAGGGCCGGGGAGCCCCTAATTTGACACGTCTGCATGGCCATGTTGATCTCGCCCATAATCAAGAAGAAACTAGAGGCTCATACAAGTTTGTACATGGCGTGTCTGTTTCTAAGGGTTGGCTTCATACATGAAGCAAAGGGATCCCCACCCATGTTTTGGGGATCCCCTTGAAGAGGAATGGACTTGGGTTGCGGGGTTGTTCGTTATCGGCTATACATACTGGTATTGCAGCTTCATAACAATCCTCAATTAGGTGTATGTTGCGGGCGGCCCTTTCAGGTTGGCCTAAATTTCAATCCAAAAGGGAGACCACCCATTTTCGCCTTCCTGAATTTTGAGACACACGACTCAGCTGTCCAAAGGACCCAGAACGAACAGGTTCACCATTTTGACTCAACATGGACCCCCCCTCAAAAAAAACATGCCCTCCCCCCCCCAAAAAAACAAAAACAAAAACATGCCCCCCCCCCCCCCCGGGGAAAAAAAAAAAAAAAGTCCTCCCCCCCACAAGAAAAAAATGGCCTCATTTATTCATGCAGCCGCACAAAAAACGCACTGCCCCGGCTCGCTCGCAGCGCGGAGCCTTGCGGAAGATCAGCTGCACCTCGTCGTCCCCTAGGGCTTGGCCTTCAACGAAGACCCTGGCGGCGTTTGGTAAGGCTGACTCCGGATGAGGAAACCCACCGGTTTACTAGTATGGGGGTGGGGATCCCCCTGCAGTAGGGGGGAGGGGGGTGGCGGGCCCCCAATTCCATTTATCTAGTCTTCCCCATAAAAGGGAAAATGGAACCAGAGTATTCTAGGGGTACCTTTGTTGTCCATTCTTTCCAGGGATCCTTTGTTTCAGGAAACCATCAAAATCCCAGTGGAAACAGATCCGGTTTTGAAAAGAACGATGGTTGAAAAGAATGGGGAATCAACCCTTAGAAGTATGGGCGGGGGTCCCTTCAAAAAGTGTTACATCCCCACTAAAACCAGGGACACCCCTTAATAAACAGGGGCTTATTCATCCGGTCGCCCTTATGTGTCCAGTGCCCGAAAATGATGGCTGTTCTTTTGGCTTCGCTTTGATCCAAGCCAAAAAGGGTACCCTCAAAACAAAGCACATTGCGCGACATGTTGTGGGTGTGTTGGCGCTCCCCCTGAAAAACAAACAAAATTAAAACGGACACCTTTCTCTAGCCTGAAGATCACTGAGCACACTAGGAAAGGGGGCGAGGTAAGATATATAAACGAAGCTCCCATCGTTCCTTCTTCCCCGTCTCCGTGCCTCCCCCCCCTTCATCAATCCACTTCTGACCTATCAGCGCGCCTGAAGCCTTTTAGCTTGCTGTCTTCCTTGGAGAAGTCCACACAGTTCACGAACCATCCCTTCTCCGCATCGATCTCTTGGAAGGTGTTTGCGTCCCCGCCTTGCAACGCCATCAACCATGAAAACTCTGGGCCCAGGGATCCGAACGCCCCGACTTTCAGGACCTTGGGTCACGGGTTTCCCTTTTCTGCACCTCCAAAAGTGGAGGTTTCAATGGAAGCCACCAGTAAAATTGGAACTTGTAAGGGGAAAACCAGTGTGCCCCATGGGTTGATGAATCATCGTTACAGACCTTTCAGCGATACCAGGGGCCCACAGTGGCCTAAAATGATGGCCCCAAAGAACGTGCACAAGGGTTCGAAATTGGCCTCTGGTGAAAGGAGCAACAAAAGCAAGCACCGCATATTGCACCCTCGAGGCTTGGTCATTCTTCGGAGGCTCAGAGCAACCCCAATTGTTGTTCACTCCTCAAGTGGATTGCGCACCACTGAACTCCTGAAAGTGAACATTATTTGAGGGTTCTCAAGCTTACTTATGGACACGTTTGGAGGTGGTTGGAACCTCCCTGTCGAAGCAATGAAGGGGCATCAAGCAACTCGAAGCTTGGCCATGGGTCCCCCAGCGAACATCCCAATCCCCGTTTCAATAGGTTCTAAACTGGGTGGTGAATTCACCTACCAACCAAAATGGGATCCCAAAACGGCTTTGACAACCACAGCCAAATTAGTTAAGAGCAGCTCCGTGGATGTCCCGCGGACATCGGCCCAACGGAAGTTTCGGCCGCACGGCCGCCCGGGTTTCGGCGGCACTTTGGGCCGCCGGGCGCTTGCCGCGGCGGAAGGTGGCGTCTGCGGCGTCCGTGAAGAGCAGCTTCCAGGTGCCGTTCAGCGGGCAGCTGCCTGCGAGCGAACCCGCGCGAGACGCTTCTTTGGGGTGGGAAGGGAAGGGGTTGGGGGGACATTGCCATTTTCAGTTGAGGGGGCATGTGCTTACCTCTTTCTTTCTGTTCTTTCTTGGTGTGTGTGTGTGTGTGGTGTTGGGGCAGGGGTAGCCATGGTGCGGATTGAAACAACAGCCTTCAAAGTGGAACCCGGAAACGGTTGAAAAACCAAATGAGGCAACGGCCAGGCACACTTCAACTGGGGGGGGGGGGGGAGCTTCGGAGGGTGGATTGAAAAAGGACATGTGAAACCCTGTAGTTCTGTACACGCCGGTCTGACATTTCAATCAGAGACGCTCGCTTCTTGTATTTCTTTTGTTTGGGTGGGTGGGGGGGGGGAGGGGGAGGGGAACGCCATTGAAGAATGATAAGCGCATTCTTCCTCTTCAACTGCTCCTCACCAACAGAAACGTGAAACCAACTTGTTGTTGCCAGGATTGCGTCAAGTCCTTTCAAAACGGGACAAACTTGAAACCAAATCAAACACAAGCTGGGGAGCTCCTAGGCTCGATGCAAACACGCACACACACAGCGCAGCACAAGCACAACCAGGGCTTGTTTCAGAAGTAGAGCAGCCTCAAAAATTGTGGTTCTCCCTCTGCTTCCCTTCAAGGCGGCCCAAGAAAAGGTACCCCGAAAACAAACCATGCCCACAACGCGACGCAACGCTTCATCGTCAAGCCGTGCCACACATATGCACCAGCATGCAGGCAAACAACATATACACAAACAAACGCATATGGCATACAAGCAATCTTTCCCCCCAAGAGATGGGGTAAGCTTGCTCTGGTGGGTCATGCGTGGAACAAGCTCTATATAACGAAAAAAAACAAGCAGGCGTCTCGGGCCAGGAAAGCCTTGTGGCCATTAGAACTGCCATGTCACTGTGGTCGAACCTTAACCCCTGCGTGGTGACTCGGGTGACAAAAAACGCGCTTGGGGTTGGAGCCAACTCTCAGGAATCCACCCGACAAAAAGGCTGTGAGTCAAACATTGGTATCCAAAATGGCTTGTTTTCGTAGATGGAAACAACCTCTTAAGCCCCCTGGAAGCAATATAAAATATGTCCAGTAGTGATAGATTCCCTTTAAAACCAAAAGGGGAAAACAAAACACATTCCTGAACAAATGGAAGTGGTGGTTAAAGTTCGACCCATTTTCAAATGTGGACTCCACTCGGCAACAACTCGGCCACTCGGCCGCTCGGCCGCTCGGCCGCTCGGCCCCGCGCTCGCATTCTCACCGCCGTAGCCCCGCCAGCCAGTCATGGGCCTGGCGTTGGCAACCAAGGCAAATGGCTCTAGTGGCAACTTCTCCATTCCTAGGGTTTCTGCTTGCCAGGGCCCAAAAGAAAACGTGGAAGATGGCTGCTTTTTGGAGGACGATTGTTGAACAGAATGGTGAATCAAGCCCTATGTCGCGGGGGGGGGAGGGGCTGACTGCTTTTGGGAGAGGCCCCTTTTGGTTAGCATTAAACACGAACCAAATGAAAAACAACTTTGTTTTCTTGGGGGGGGGGAATTGTAACACTAACCCATGGATGAATGATGCATGGCCCCTGCGTGAACAAAGCAATCGCGACACAAACAATGCTGCCCTGTATCCACAGAGTGCAGACTGACTATTGAAGTCTAGCATCTAAACGCGTGAGCAACCGCCCGAACAGCGCCAGCAAAAGCCACAAATGGTGAAATGAATCTCTTGGGCGCGAAAGGCCGCCCCTTGGTGCCTCCTTATGCGCAGGCGTTTGCCAATGCCTTTTATTAACAAAGCAATGTCCAAAATTCCTTACAACCTTAAAAGGACCTAAAGATGTTCATGTGTGAACATATTATTTTGCGTCTAATACGTTGGAACCAATGGCTGAACCACCCCTAGATACCGCTAGCTTGCAATACTTCCTTCTTTGCCGCTCACATTTAACTGCCGCTATCAGACTCATAGCCAAGTCCTTCTCGGACGTGACTTAGGATATTTGACACTTAGAACTCCTCTGCAGGCACCTAGCGACTGGGCCAACCGCCCAGGACGTCTCATTTAAAGCCGCAAGAGCGGCTTGGGGTCATGATGGCCACGACAGGGTTGGCCCAACGTCACCCACTTTCTTTTTGCAACAGCTTGCAGGGGTTCAGGCCTTGGCCAACAATAGGCCAACTGCGCACCTTTCTCCACACCCGTTTTGCTTCATCCTCCTTTTGCTTCCCCAAGAAATTGGCAGGGTAGCATATAGCCAGCCAGCCAACCATGGCCTTCAACCAGAACCACTCCCTCCCTCGCTTCCTCCGGCCGCTTTTTGGGCGGCCTGGGGGTGGGGTTCAGGTCTTCCAGCTGTTGGATCACCTCCACACAGCCCAAGCGCAGCTTCGCCAGCTCGTCACTGAGCTGGCGGAGTCTGTGGGCTGTGAAAGGAGGGCACAGGTCTCCCTGCACAAATCCGATAAGGAACCGAAGCGGTCAGTGGGACGTGTCAAATAGCGTGTTTGGGTTTGGGTTACCCAGGAAACATGAGCAAAGGGCGGTTTCTGGGGATGCGCCAGCCAAACAGGCAAAGCGACTCTAAATCAAGCCAAACGGTGATGCTTAAAGCAGGTTGTCAAGGAAAGCACCTAGCTGGTACCCCTCAAAATGCAGGGAACCCACATGCGTGGTCGCAACAATTTGGAACCCAACAAGCAAGGGACTTTTTCGGGTGGAATCCGCCAAGCAACTGGGGCGTGGTCCTTTTCAAGCAGCTTAACCTTCGATGTTTAATTCCTGGCCCTTGTTTCAGAACCGGCAGCGGCAACTGGCCAACACAAGCTTGAACCTGCTGCGCCTCGACTGGAATGATGAATGACCCGCCCAAAACAGGGCGTTTAGGTTAGACAAAGCAGCAGGTACGCCTTTGCAAAGGGTGTAATCCTTTTGGTGGTGCCTCCCGTGGGTGAAGCAACGCAATGATTATCGAGGCACTGCAAGCGGTTTCCCCTTGCCAAATGCCCCTTGTACTGTGTTCATGGTTGCGCTATGCTTTCCTCTTGGTATTAACTCCTCATTCCGGACACCCAGGGGGTGCCTCTGATCAACACAAAACCCAGCAAAGAAGGCGCTTTGCATGCCCATGGGTTGCCATGTAGAAAAGGGCACCTGTGGCAAGTTTGTGTACAGCTGGGAGCGATCGAAGAAAAAAACAACAGCAACATCACATCCCGAACACAGCCACCCATCCAATGCTCCATGCCCATCCCAAAACCCTATCCGCACTCGGTCGCTCTCATGGGCCTGCACCTGCTGTGACCTCAGGCCATCAAATCAAGCTCACCTGAGCCAAGCCAACTTGTTTCCTGGCCAGTTTCCCGTCTGTCACAGGCAATATGCACAACTTGTCCCAACCCCTGAGGCCCAAAATCAAGCAGGAATCAATAGATTTCTCTGCTCAACATTACGCAATTATGTAAATTACAACGTGGGACTGATTAGTTTTCCAGGCCATGTAAGAATCCGGGAATTTCTTCAGTTAGGCCAACTTCTATGCATCCGCTTCCTCTTTTGCAGCCCAAAGACCCGGAAACCAAAAGTTGACAGGTTCGGACCTTGAGTAAGCAAGGTCCAAACACAAGCAAGATTCCCGAACCGTCTGAAACAAACTGACCATGGAAATCTACAGTCGGCCCCGATACCGAGTGAAGCTGCTTTGAAGCAGGGCGTGATTGAATCAGGCAAGGGCGATTTTTGTTGAGGGCAAGCAGGGACAAATGTAAGGAAACAACGTGACAGAATAACTGACATCAACATCCGGAGGGTCCCAGGTGGTTTGGACACACACCCATCTACACATCGCCCAGCCCGAGGATTGAAACAAAACATGCGCGCTGTTACCCGGCAATGAGGCGGCCGCGCGAAGCTTTCGGCTTCTAGTAGGGAAGCCTCCGGCTCTCTGATTGCGAATGGGCGGCAGGGGGGGATGCAAATTGACACCCGCAAGCAAGAAAAACAGTCGACCAAGGAATTCTTCATGGACTCTGCACGCGGCTCTCGGGGCCGGCCCCTTCAGTTCTGAGGTTCGGCTCAATCCAGGTCCCAACATGCTGCAACGCCAAAATGGACATTGAGGAATTGAATACGTCCGAACCAGAAATTAGAATTCACTCCCCCAAGCAAAGGACCTAGGAATCGCTGAAGTCTGAATGCTCGGCGCAGGGGTCTGTGCCTTCTGGGCCCATTAAACCATATCCTTACACGAGCCAAGTGGCGGTGTAAGGAGAACATGTTGAGAAACCCTCAAATGGTATGTGTTGATTTACATTATTTACGGTCATCTTAACAGTTTCCAACTTTATCGGGCCTGCTCCTTCTTCTTCATCTTTTTCTTCTTCTTTTCAGCCTCTTCCTGTTCCGCCATGACGTCCCACCTCGTGCCATGCCATTCATGGAAGTGCGCAGGCCCACCACCAGGCCGGGAATGCAACTCCCCCGGGTCCTTGGAAGCTGCTAAGCCCTTGGCAGTGATTGCGAGTGTCCCTCCCCACCAATTCTGAAAAGGATACATTCATGCAACACCTGCTTTGCAAGGGGATCCTCTAAATCAGCTAGAAGCATGGCTTTCTATTTGGCCCAACTGTATCCCTGTAAGGCCTCTGTCCCTTCAGCGCGAACACGCGGCCAAGCAATCACACGCGGGGCTGTAGCGCGCCGGAGTCCCAAGTGAGAGGCACCCAACACCACATTACTTGTAGATCGACCATCCGAGATGCTCAGGTCAAGCTGGGGGTGCTTTGATTTTTATTCCCAACATAAACCACCCGCAAAGGGGCACAAAAACAAAAACAAAAAACTAAAACATCTTTTGGGAATCAAACTTGAATCCCTGATTGTTGCAGGACAACCATCACATTCAACTAAGGAGCAAAATTCCGAGCTCATCTTCCTTCGAATTGGTGGTATGGATTGGTGGATTGGTGGTTTGGTGGTTAGGGGTGGTTTGGTTCGGGGTGGTGTCCCTTGACCCTCTACACAAGAATTGCAGTTTCGAATCCCCGAGCCAATCCAAACCACCAAGTGACCACAAACTGACCATCGGTGGCCTCCGCTGCAAACTGGCCATGGGTCAAAATCCCGTACATCCCGACTAAGATGGGGTGTGAATTCACCTACCAACCAAAATGGGATCCAACACGGTTTTGACTCACAGCCATTTGGGTTTTCCTGCCATCCCCTTAATTCTTTTTGTGTCCTTTTGGTGCAAGCTGCCAGATGTAAAACCTTGGTTGCCTCCGCTGCAAGTTGGGCTTCCGGGCATCTCTTCCTGCTTCTGCTTGAAGTCCGCGCACCGCCGTATGAGCTCCTCCTGGCCGCAGCTCAGCGGCTCAGCCGGCGGGGGCGGAGCAAAAAGCGACCCATCTCTCGGTAAGAGAAGTGGCACCAACGCCTGGCACCAGGCGTTCGCTAAAAATCGGTGCCTCTAAGATCCTCTAAGGGAAAAGTCAAACGAAACCCAATGTTTACACTTTAGGCTTGGTCATTGAATGGCTCGGAGCGATCCTGAGAAAGACTCCGGTTTCCATGGGGGGAAGAAATCAAAAAGAGATGGTGAGCCCAAATGAGTCAGAGTTGTGGGATTTCCCATTGGCCAGCCCAAAATATGGAGATTCGGCCGCCCTACTTTCGGTTGCACTCCAAGCCACCCTCCACTTGCAAACGGGGCTTCGCCAGTTGACACGACAGTGCTTGTATGGAAAAAGGCCGCAAACTGCAAATGGCAGCGAGGCCAACAAGCAAGCAGACTTCAGGCACGTAGGTTCGGAGGATTACTCAGATGGAAGGAAGGCATCGTAGACCAAGTCATCCCTATTTTCAGGATATGTGCCCTCAATATAAGGGAAACAAAGTCATTCCTATTCCAGGATGTGTCCCTTCAAAGCTTTCTAACTTCGGGAGCTTCCTGCTTTTCGCACACACACACACACAAACACCATGCCTTCCTATTGGCTAGTGCCCTCACCCCAGAATGATGTTACACTGTATGATTCTAGCCCCTATTTGGCCGAACTTCAAAGCGGTCACTTCGGCCAGAAATCAACTCCCTTCCTGACACGGTTGGCCAAAACGTCCAGGAACTCAGGGAGTAAACAACCGAAAGGGGTTCACACTTTCTTGAGGAAGGCCCTTCGCAAGATTTCGAATTTGACAACACAGATCCAGCCCGCAGCAAAAGTGCCTTGAGGCTTTCAGCCTCCGCCCCGGCGCTGGCACGCAGAGAGGTCCCTCGGGCAGATGGTCTCCCTGAAAGGTAGACCACCCTCTTTCCGGCAAAGGAAGTCAACCATCGGGAGCTTCCCCAAGAGGAAAGTAGACTTTCGAAACCCTGTCAGCTTCCAAGATTGGAGGGAGGGTACCTGGTTTGACAATATGTACGGATAACTCCTGCTTCTTGTGCAGGGTTGCCCCCGATCGGCAAAAATGGGGAAGGACAGGACAAGTGTTTGCAGATCGTGAGGCTCCGAGCAACAGCCAAACCCATTGGCCTGAAAGGAGCTCTGCCACTGTCAAATCGGAAAGCCGTCATATTGGGGGACCCTCAAAATGGTGGTTGTCCTTCTGGTTTGAATTCAAAGCCAGAAAACACGGGTAGCCTCAACAACACACATACCCATATTTCGATTGGCCAGAATCAGGAACAAACAGGAGCAACACGTGCAAAGTGCAACCGCAAAGAATAGAGGCCCTGCCATGATATTTCCGTGGTCATTTTGCCCAGAACGCCGCACGAAAATAGGTCATGCGAAGGCTTAGAAAAGGTGTGCCAAGTAGGGAATCAAAGTTGGCCAAGACATGGTCAAGACCACCTCTCGCTTGGAGAGTTTGGGGGTTACAGGCATTGGGTCTAACACCGTCCGGCGTCACAAACAAAGCAAAAAAGGTCCCGGCAATGCACAACCTGCAATAAGCCGCGAAAACCTGCAGAACCCCCCCTGTCAGCTTTCTTGCTTGTGGTGACCTCAATGGGAGCTCGCAAAACGAAGCAACTGCGTCCAAGGCCCTGGCGAACAACTGCAAAGGCAGAGCCTAGCACATCATGCGAGTTCGGTGCTGCAGCCCGCCAGACCAAGGTTCAGACCCAAAAATTCAAATGCGAAGGCGGGCTCAAAAACCTAACCCGACGCGCCAGAATTCTTCATGAAGAACTCTTGGACACCGACTAGAGGCGCTCACCATCTTTGGGTTTCCTTGGGAAACGACGAATTAACGTGTGGACGGGCCAATTGAAGCATGGACTGGCCATTTAGCCCGAGTCGCATGTCCCAAGGCCATCTCACTGAGGCCGGGGCATGCGATCTGCAGAGCAACGAGCCCCACCAACTTGGCCTGCAGTGGTCAGACCCTAGAAATCCCAAGCCCCCCTGCGCTCCTGAAGATTAATCTGAAACCCAGAAAAAGGGAGGGGGTGCCCGACAAGAAGATTCCTTTAAGCAGATGGTTCCTGGGTTGCATGTTCATCCTCAGGAAGCACATGCACTCGACATCGCGAATTCAACAATACAAACTGACACCAACAGCTGGAGAGGTGCGCTTCTTCACAAGGCAAGCTAAGACGCGAACAATTGAAGATACTCAGGCTAAAAGTGCAGTTGCTGCTGGCTTGCCCAAAAGAACGAAATAAGCCCTTTGCTGAAAGATGGGTAGGCTTCGTCACATGAGGCCTCCAGGTCAGCCCATGAACGAAACGACCTACATTTAACATGCTGGACTCATGACTGTTTCAAGCGGCCTCCTCTTGGATTTCCTTCGGAAAGGGTCATGTTAATGCTGCATTCAAGGGCATAATAACCGTCATTTGATCAGGGTCAACGCTAGGTTTGGCTCCGAAAATTGCATTCTGAATCAACGCCTGGCTTCTAGTTTGGAACCCCGTCTCCATGGATGTAACCCACTTGTTGTAAGCCCACTGCATGCCCCTTTGTCACACACAAGGCCCTGGCACACAATGGCAGCCCGCGTCGCAAGCCATGCCTGGCAAGGCCACTACTTGTCCTAAGAGCATCAATCCAGGGGGGTATCAATCGAAATCAAAACTTGGGGCACCAACTTGGAAGCAACTTGCGCATGCGACTCTTCAAGTTCTTGTGCTCCCTCTCCCTGTGTACTTGACACTGCGCCAGGGTGACAGTAGATGGCATTCGCACGCAAGCAAACCTAAATTTGGAGGTTGTGCCCTCTTTCGCTCAACTGCAGGCCGCCGACCCGAAATCATGAAATTGAAAATCCTGTCGCAGACCCGCGGCCCCTGTCTAAAGCCCGCGCCGTGGAACCCACGCCAGCCCCCAAAAAGATATCGCGGGGAAAACACACACACACACACACAATTTTGATTGACAACTCCCCAGTGGCCCTGCTTCAACTTGTCTGCCAACCTGTCTGACCATCTGTTGACTGGAACTATATTAGCACAAGAACCCGATAGGCTAGGGGGCTATTGAAAGCCGGTAATTGCTCTCTTCCCCAATCGGCAAACAAACTGGGGTCAATCGAAGCCGATAAACGCTGGTAAGATTGCTCGTTGCTCACTTGAGCCTGCAGCTACAATGCCAAAGCAAACGCGCTAGTGATATTCACATCAAGACGGCTGATCTCCGAATTCTGAGTAGTAAACCAACCATCCTGGGAGATCACACAGCTTTCTACGTCCTATACTCGAGTTGCAATATGGGTACTTCTTGCAATGTGAGCAAGCGGTTGCGTCCTTCGAGTGTGCGTTGGCACATCCAAAAGGAGCCCGAGCACCCCAGATCTCCAGCTCGAGCGAATCAAGTGGACCTTTTGGTTGACGCACGGGTATGAATCAAAATAAGGGACTCATTCTCTGAAAAGGGTGCCCCGCAAACCAATCTGAAAAGGGTGCCCTCATAAGAAGCCCAAACCAACACCTTCAAGGAAACCAAACCCAAGAACAAAAGGCACAGGCCTGGGGCAAGCGCCCTCAGCCAAAAGCACAGCTCCGACGGCCAAAGCAACGACCAACGAAAGCACCGCGCCTGCGTGAGACCATGACGCAGGCGAGGGAATTTGAGCGGCTGGGAACACCGCAAAGGAAGTGCATGGTTCTGAGCGGGCGGGTGGTGCAGTAACTTGGGTAAGGACATATCCAAGATTGATTCATGTGGCGCAGAAAGGGTTTTGTTTGGGAGAGGAATTCCAACTATTAACAAGCAAAGGCTGTCTTGTCTAGCACTCTGCTGGTGGCTGGTCTAAACCAGACCTTTACCCAACGGTCGTCCCTGTTGGAAACGCCAAGCCAACTGATATATTGGCTTGGCTCTGCAATGTTGTTGGTTCTCGCCAGTTTCCAAGGTGATTTGCTTGCTTTGCAATGGCTTACGCGTGTTGCTGGTCGGATTGGTTTCCCACGAGCTTTCCATGGCTTGAGTGGGCGGCTGTGAGCCGTCGAGACCCGATGCTCGGTTGGGCCCAGCGCATGGCAAATGGGCGTGCGGTATTTTTGAGGGGCTCTGGAAAAATTGCGGGCCCGCCCTAAGCATCCTGAGATTATTCCGTGGCCAATTTCATGCTTCATGCACCAACTCTCCGAGATGCAAGTCTTCCTTTCATATTGGGCAATGCCTGAATTCGGTGCTGGGAAGCCAACTCACTTCCTGAGTGGGTGGCCAATCAAGAAGCCGCCGCTTTAGAGTTCATAGTGAGTATCTACCAGCTGGCATATACCAACCATAAGTACGGTTAGCACACACTTGGAGAATCTTGGAGATTTCTGAGGAAATGTGTCGGCCAGAATTGGGGGTAAGTGAGCAGCCCGGACGTCGCCAAAACCCCTTTTCCCCGAGACGTTGCTAGCCCGCAGGGCCAGCACGCAGCTCCCACCTGCTCAAAGCAGCCTCGGGTTGATTGGCGAGTGCGGAAGCCATGGGCACAAGCAGAGGTCACACATGGTGGTTAACAGAAGCTTCAGCGATTGGTACCCAAACAGAACAAGATTGATGCTGATGTTTAGTGAACCTGAAGATGTTCTAAGTTAAAATTCAAAAGAGGTCCCTGTTTTGGGAGACCTTCCCAAACCGTGGCATGCGACTCTAAGCAACAAGCTTTCCAGTAATAAGCCAAGCGGGCGAGCAACGCCGAACGCGTTCGCGGCCCTGGGGGAGGCAAGTTGGCAAGAATGAACAGAGCCAACGACTAAAACAAACACATACCAAAAACAGTGTAAAGGGAAAAACACGGTTCCAAATCACGTTAGGACCCAAAATGGGTCCCTATCGCCACACTTGCACAAGAACCAAATGGAAAACAAGATGTTAGCCTGCCCAGCGGGGGATGAGGCCACCCGCCACAAGGCCAGGCTCGGCTTCCACCGGCACATGCCACAAGAGACCGCGCTCAACCGCAAACTTCCATTTGCTTCAAGTGCTGTCCCAATCAAATGGAACCATTCCCCTTCTCACTTCCTGAGTGCATTGTCCAGAGACAGTCCAGCCATTTTGTTTGCCACTACAGTTGAAGAACTCCAGAAACTCGGGAAGTTGCCTTTGGAACTGTGTGAGAAAACTCTATTTCCAATAACAACACAGAAGCAGAGAGAGCTTTGAAGCCAGCAACAAACAGCTAGAGCAGTCGGCTCAGAGCTGCGCCCGCCTGCGTCTGAACCCAAACCGAAGTTCCACCTCAGCTGCAGTCCTGCAACCTTGGGCATCAATCTTCATTGGGATCCCTTGGGTCTAAGGTAACTTCCCCACAAGCTCGCTCTAGGTCCTCCAGTAGAGAGCTTACAAGAAGGGTACCAACTTTTTTTTCTGTTTTCTATTTTTGTAGGGGAAGCCTCCCCCAAAAAAGGGTAAAAGGGCACTACTGCAGGGCCTAGTCTTGGTGTTCCCCGGGCCCACAGTTCTTGACCAAGGCTTGTCCAAGGACACACATATAGAGTTAGACAGATCAAGAGAAGCACCTGATTAAGGCAGAAACGCGGTCGCTCTCTCCCCACCACCCTAAAGCAATCTCAAGCAGGTCTCACAAACGGCTACAGGGGGCGTATCTTGTTTGAAGGTACCGGTCCACGATTCTAAGGCAAACCCAAAGGTCAACATCATGTGCAACTTCCATCGGGGTCTAGCAGTGCTTCCGCTCCAAAAAGCCGCTTTGCCGCCTCCAGCAGCTAGAGGAATCGCCGGTTCAATTCAATAGAATGCCCTTTTGGGACGGCTTCCCAGAGACAAAGCATGCCAACCACCTTGCCAGAACCCATGCCTTGAAAGCTAGATAACACCAACCTAGGGATCCTGGAGCTGGGCATCTTCGCATCGATTCGACCTGAATTCAGCCCAAATGAACCGTGACGAACTGGATATGCTGGTGGCATCTCACTTGGGGCCCGTTTGGAGTCCCTTTCGACCTTGGACCTTAAGCTCCTTGTCATGTCAATCCCCCAGGATCACATCAGCACACCCGCCCCAAGGTCGCGGCTCAAGCAGATGCTCGGCCTGGAGCCCTCCTCAGTGCTGCAATCAGGTCGGGCTCATATTTGGTTGTTGTTTTTTCCTTTTTTTTTCCCGCAGGAATTCTAGTTCTGTGTGTCAACAAATATATATATATATATATATTTTCTATATATACAAATGTTTAGCATTGAACTTACTTGTTTCAGTACCTTAGCTCCTTAAATCAACTCTGATTTGTCAACTCTCTCTCGCGCTCTTCAGCTGCCGCACCATCGGTAAGCGTCCACCAGTCCAGACAGGTTTGTTTTGCCCATTCGCCAAAGAGGCCAAGCGGGTGTGCGGTCCAAGGGGAAGGGCCCCTAGGCAGGATGAAACCCCGTGCCACCACACAGAATCTGAGGAATCCTCTTTTGGGAGGCCGCCTTTTGGGATTCCCTGCAGTGTCGTTATGAGCGGGCGTCCCTTCGAACTCCCAGGAAAAAAGAAACACTCCAAAAGGGTTCCCAATGCAAAATCATTCCCATCTTTCGCAGAAATGTGTAACCACTTTGCCTTTCGCCTTGAACCACCCTTAAGGAACGCCCCACAAATTGAAATCAACACCTCCTTTTGGACCAGGCGGAGGGATTTGCGCCATGTTTCTGCGCCATCTTCGATTCTGGCCCATATCCGGGGGAGTCACCAGGAGGCTCGGAGGATGGATTAAAAAAAACAAAAAAACGTTCACCCTTTGCCAACATCAAATCTTGAGAAACAAGGGGTGGAACTGCTTGACCCTCCATGCCAACAGTGTGAAGCCTAAGTCCACCTCTTGACCCAACTCAGTGCTGAGTTGTGGTTTGCTGCCAGAAACATTTGCGCCAAGTTAGTTGAATTCGCCGTAGCCTCAGCTAACAAGTCCGTCATAGGTGTGTTCGTTTCCCTCTGGAATCCATTTTCTGACTTGGACAAGTTTGGGGAGGGAGGGGGGGGGAGGGAGCCCCAATGAGCCCCAAAGAAGGCCTTATTAGGGGCTTAATACGGGCTTATTTGGGCTCCCGCCCCCTCCCCTCCCTCCCCCCCAACCAGCTGGCCGGGATCCATCCGCCCCGAGGCCGAAACTCCAGCAGAGGAAGACCCCGGCAGCGGCCCGGCTTCCTGGCATCCAGACTATCCCATCCATTGGGTCAATGGCGCAACAGCTGCGGCATGTTGGTTTTAGCATGTCCTTTCCTTATCCCAAAAACAGGGAACCGTGGCATTGCATGTTGGTTTTAGCATCCCCTTTACTTAAACATATAAAGATGGAAGTGTGTCTTTTCGTTCACCCCGGTGCACATCTTCGACCGGATCATACGGCCATAAAATTGCATGGGGCGGGGGAAGCCAGGTAGGCATCCAACCCCCATATGGCTATGGACTTTTGCGTCAGGACCCGCAGGTGGACATCATTTGGGTTGGATTCATATCCACTAATCGTTTGAGATGGGCTCCTCATTAAAACGCGTTGCCATGCAAAAATGATGTCCAAACATATCCAACAGTGCCTTTTTTCGACCGGTTCGCCTCCACGTCCACGGTCTCCCCAACCCGAGCAACCGCAAGGCGGTTTCTTGCACCTGGGGCCATGTGCACTGGCGCCCTTTCCAGTGAAAATGTCAATTTACATTATTTGGTGGGGAGCTGACTTTCTGGCTCTTTTCGGGAGCTTTCAGCCTTCACCCCGAACAAAAATCGGCAAAGCGTGGTATCCGCAAAAGTCAAGCCATCCATCCAGACCTGGATGACCTAAGTGCGGCGCAAACGCAAAGCGCCGCGCCCACGCAGCCCGGCCTTGCGCTTCGTCGTTGCGGCCACTGGGCTCGTGGGAAAAACAAACCTAGAAGCTAGTTCTGGTCCACGGCGGGGCTTCCAATCAAGTGCCTCTGTTCAATTGTGCATTTCCGAACATGCCGTGCTGACCCAGAAAGAACTGGCATACCCCAGTGGCCAATTCCCCCCACAGCTGGAAAAAGAAAAGCAACAATCTTAAAACACCCTTTGAGCCGGTGCCGACACCATGTCCTTACACGTGAACTCGCAGCTCCTTTCCCTCATCCCTTTGAACCCATCCAATTGTTGTCAGTTTCATGCCACATAAACATAAGCCAGTGGTTGACAGCAGCCCAAAACAAGCAAGAAACCACACCAGGGCAGCAACACTCGCAAATGTACCCAGGACGCATCCCGTTTCTTCCCCGCACGGATCAGCAGCTTCCGCTTCGTGCCCCGAGTGTCTGGCGTTGCAATGAGCCGCTGAACCGGCAGCAAGGCGGGCTCAAGGTCAACCTGCCAGGTGTGTCGGCGGTCCGTTTTGACATCCCCTGAAAAAAGTTGAGCTGGTGGGATAGATTTGGTGGAAAAAAAAACTAAGGAACCGGACGGCTGGGAACCGCCAAGTTTAGCTGGTTTCGAGAATGAGTCTGTGTGTCGGGATTCAAAAACGCGTGAGCAACATATAATTAACGGAGTTTCTCAGGGCTTCCAGTGATCTTGACTCTTCGTACATTTTGTTGATGTCGCACCAGGATGGGCTCACTTCACGCGGCATGCACTGCATATCTAGGCCTGGGTGTCCCCAGTTTGGCTTCACGGTTTCGCTGGAAAAAATCAGCACCGACACATCAGGGCCACCAGCGATTGTTGGGCTGGCGCTGTTGGATCTGTAGCCGCCAATCCGGCCGGCACCTGAAAGCGAATGGAGCCGTCCTGGCAGCTGTACCTATGGCGCCGGGACCCCATCCAATGGCTTCTCCCGAAGGAGGGTGGGGTGAACAAATTGAGCGGGGTCCATTGGCTCCTTCATCCTCATCAGACAGGGGCAAATTGTTTGTTTTCCCCTGCGCGCTCAAAAGCAAGAAAGGGAACACAACACCTTTACACATACCTGCTGGGTGAGTCTGGTGAAGCTGGTGCTATTCCCTCAGAAGCCGCCACTCCAAGCCACCAATCAAGGGACCGTTTTCGCGGGCTAGAAGCCTTACGTCTGACTTGCACAGCCCTGGAAAACCCCCTCCTGACGCAGAGGCAAAGCCGACAAATCAGCGCCTAGCCAGCAAATCAGACTATCCTCAGGAGAACCAACAAATCATGGGTTCTATATTCATTGCCTAGCCAACCCCCAGAACTATGCCCAAGTGTGTCCAACAGTTCAACAGGCCCCGGACTGCAATTTCCTTAGATGGTTAAGACCCCCGTAGCTGTCGTTGTGGCGCAAACTAAGGCGCAGTCGAAATCACGCAGCGTCCCTAATTCGCTCCAGTCAGGAGCTGTGAACTCGACCGTCCACTTGGCCAGCTCTCCCGCACAAAACGCAATGCAATGCAAATAGGGCACCTCTCCGCCCCCGCTCCCCAGCCCTCCGCGAAAAACGAAGTGGAGCCAAAGCGCAGGATCAGTTTGCTGGAGTTGCGCTGGGTGACTGCCAGCAACTTGGGCGGCAGGAAACACCTTGGGACCATGCGAGGCCCCCGTGAGCCGAAGATCAGATCCCTGGAGGGAAACTCCAGGAAGACGTCGACCGATTTTCTCCCCTCGAGTTTTGGTCGTCGCTGCACGGCTCTGAGTCCTTCAAACCTCAAGAAGGACGCAACCCGTGACATGGACACAGGATCAAAACCCAAAAATACGAATTTCCTGTCAAGATATTGGTTGCAACATATGCCCTAAGTCCTGCCATGGACCTGGTTCTTGTCTCTGTTGCATGTGAATGTCGAGGGGGTCTCACCAGTGAAAGTCCCCATGGAACCCTTTGAAGGCGTCCCAAAACGTAGCTTTGTGAGGGCCCCATTTGGATGCGAGAGAACGGTGCTGGCTCCAACTCAATGGCAATGTGCAACTCTGACTGTCCCTGCTCCATCCCCTCCCAGAACTCGGAAAGAAAAAAAGGAACGTTTAAGGGTTTGAGGGCGGGGGCACCTTTAGTTCCTGCCTTTCTTTTTGCCGGTGTGTGTGTGGGTGTGTGTCTTGAAAGGGCAGCCAAAGCGAAAACACCGTCACATTGCTTTTCCCCCAAAATGGGAGGTCTACACAATCCCGTAGGGCAAGTCCATTGGCTCAGGGCGGACAGAAGTCCCTGCCCATGCAGCCACGAACTGCGTCGAAGTGGCGCAACCATTGGCGGCGACTCCAGCACTTCGCGGCAAAGAGCACATTTACACCTGCCGACCAGAAACTGACAGGGCATCAGATTGCCAACTTTGCCCAAAGGACCTGAACATTGGCTAAGCTCTTGGAACCTTGCCAAAAGATGGGACCAACACCGAAACACAAACAAAGAAAACTGGTCGGCCCTAACGACTAAGCAAGTGTCCAGGATTCACCTGGATCATGTGTGGACATCTTGTTGCCCGTGCCTGTCTAGAATGGTCCTTACATCAGCGTTTCCCCGTCTCCGCCTGGCTGCAGTTAGGAAAGGAGCCCTCTTTGGGGTTGATTCCATGCGGAGTCGAAGCGTCGAATGGGACAAAAGGAGGCCACTGAACTGAGGCTTAGCAACGGACCCTGGCGCCTCTCAAACATCCTCTGGCTGCAGCTCGAATGAGCCCCTCCTGTGAAAAAGGGGCCTGTTTTGCTGATACCGACTCAAACAACATGATGGATGCGGTCTCATTCCTGTTCACTCGATGGGTGTCAGTCAACTGCCTCGCCTGGAACCATCGTGCAAACAAAAAGCATCCTGTTCAGGCTTGTAGCAGGGTCCCTTCTGAACTTTGCTGTTGTTGTGAACGTAACGGCTCACACAAGATGCGCCAAGGTGGCAACAAAGCCCATACGTGGACATTTGACCATCCAACAGTCACAAGCCACCTCCTCAACAAATGCAGCACCATGGCCTTCCATTTGCTGAAGCCCCCCGGAGAAAAACAATACTTCCAGCAGCTATAAACTCCCTGCAAAGCCAAAAAGGAAAGACAACACATATTCTTAAGATGTCCCTTGCACAACCTCCGCTCCAACCGCCCCGTTCTCCGACCATGGCGCGACCGGCGGCTAGCGGTTCGCATCGCCTGGGAGGCGCCGGAAGCGGCGGCAGCTTCGCCAGTCTCTGGCGCCAGCTGTTGAACCTGGCGGCTCAAGAAACACGTTCGACCTGGCCAAGTGTGCCAACTAGGTGCATATGTATAGATACAATAGATCTATATATATATATATATGGTACCCCCCCCAAAACCTAGGTTTTGTGGGGGGGGGGGGGGGAGGTCAGCACACTGGAAAATTCTGCATAACAAATTGTAAAAACCATTCAAACATGCACGTTTTTCCATGTATTTCAGAAACATACATTTTTCCTGCACCAAATGCATGTTTCTGTAGAAACTAGAGCAAACACCCTGGGAAAATGATGATTTTTCTATTTTGGTAGCAAAAGTGAACAAATACAAAGGAACAGAAACCAAGCAAAGTAAAACAAAAAAAGTCAACAAGTAAAACAATAAAATATCTGGACCCAGGAAAAGTAAAAAAAGTAAAACAGCCAAAAGTAAAAAAGACAAGGTTTTTTACAATTTTATTGCGAAAATGCAAAAATGACTAGGGTTTGTTTACTTTTATTGGGAAATTGGGAAAAAGTAAAAAAAGACTAGGTTTTTACTTTTATTGCGAGAAGGTAAAAAAGACTAGGGTTTTGTTTACTGTTATTGGGAAAAAGTAAAAAAGACTAGGGTGTTTTACTTTTCTTGGGAAAAAGTAAAAAAGATTAGGTTTTTGTACTTTTCCCTATAAAAGTAAAAAAACCCTAGTCTTTTTTTCTTTGGCGGTTTTACTTGTTTACTTTTCATGAGTCCAGATATTTTACATTTTTTTACTTCTTTTACTTTCTTACTTTTTTACTTTTTACTTTTTTCTTTACTTTTCATGGGTCCAGATATTTTCCTTTTGTACTTGTTTACTATTCTACTGTTTCACTTTGCTTGGTTTCTGTTACTTTGTAGTTGTTCACTTTTACTACCAAAATAGAAAACCATCATGTGTCGAGGGTTTTTGCTCTAGTGTGTACAAAAACATGCATTTGGTGCTGCTAAGATGCATGTGTTTGAAGTTGTGTGCTCACTGCATAAATGGAAACATGTGCATTTTTGCAAGGTTTTTGCAACATGTTATGCAGAATTTCCCACGTACTGAGTTCACCACATGAAAATATCTGCTAAACAAAAGGGCATCAGGCACATCTGCAGACAAGAGTCTGTTGAAAAGGCACACAAATGATTTCCTCTTCCTTCATCTTGGAAATCATTGTGGATGAAGAGGAGAGTAATATAAGATAATAAAATAAGAGAAGATATGAATGGGTGAAAGAGATCCCATTCATCTGTCTCTTAATTGCTTTCTCTTTACCTTCATCTTGGATTTATCTGTAAAATCCTTGATGAAGAGAATTAGAATGGATTTTTCTTCATAAAATCCAATAGTCTAACATTAGGTGACAAATGTGTCACCTACAAACCCACTCACCCGGCCCATTCCTTCGTGTGGCCGGTGATTGACAGGCTGGAAACAGCCTGGATTCATCATTTGGCTTCTCTTCCTTGTCTTTTGCCTTCATCTCCGGATCCAGATGGTTAGGAGAGATATGACCTCATCCAGCATTAGAAATTGGATGAGGAATAGAAAGGCTTGGGGCCAAATAATAGATCTCTAGATTAATAGCATTTACAAATATTTTGCTATCTTATAATTCTCTCCTCTTCATCCACAATGATTTCCTCTTCCTTCATCTTGGAAATCATTTGGTCTCTCCCTTTCTCACCTCTTAATCACATCCTAGATACAGAGCTGAAAGGGATGTGATGTGAGAAAGAGATAGAGAAATAGAATGGTTTTATGATGAGACTTCTTTACCCGTCACCGTCTCATCTTAAGATCTATTAACTGTTAATTGCTGTTCTATTTAATCTTCATATTTTTACATCTCTATGTCTTTATCAGGTTATTTGTATACATTGATATTTTATATTTGTCTCTAGGAACTACCGAAAGGACTAGAATGGTGGACATCTTTTCACCCACCATTTCATTCCCGTGTCATCTCACTGTCTCCTTACTCACTTTCCTGTTCCTCCGTCACCCATCATCATCTCCCTTTCTTTTCTATTATTATTTACCTTATAGAATCTCAGGAATAAAAATGAAAGGGAAATAATACAATATGAAAATATCTGTGCCCAAGAGATAGAAAAGACAAAAAGACACAGCGGCTACTAATAAAGACATCTTAAGATTATTTTATTTGGGGTACATCTGGATGAGTCTTAGAGAGACACCAAATGTAATGACCAGAAGGTGGCAAAGAAATATCATTATCACTCATCTTTTTCCATCTCTTTTCCTTTACTGTAATCTCATGGTCTTTCACCTACAGCATAGAATGGTGGTTGGGTGAAAGGACATGTCACTCACCACCGCTTCATTCCTCATCTCTTCGTCATCTATCAGGGCACTGTCTGTCTTCACTTCTGTTCAGCCTCATCTGTTCAATCAACTAAAATGACACTTCCTCAATCCACCCTGGCACAAATCCATTTGAAGAGTGATGAAACCAGATGGCAGAAAACAAAGACCTGTGGTGCCTCCATGTTGTAAGTCATCTATCAGGGCATTGTCTGTCTTCACTTCTGTTCAGCTGAGGCTGTCCAATCAACTAAAATGACACTTCCTCAATCCACTCTGGCACAAATCCATGACGAAACCAACCTGGCCCGCTATCAGAATGAACCTTCTGTGGCAACCCTTGCTGGCACAAATCCACTTGAAAAAGTGATGAAACCTAGGTTTTTTTTTGGGGGGGGATAGCATATATATATATAGGTATATATGTACATATCTATATATTTACACATACACAAGGGGCAATTACGCATGCTCTTTGATTTGTGTACGATTGTGATTGGACTTTTTGGTGTGGGATCCCGGATGCTGAAGAATGACAATAAGAGAAAGACCATGTGGTTTACAAGCGAGGGCCCGGCTTCCCGATGAAACACGGTAGGGTGGCCGTCCACTATGATTGATTGTTGGAATGGTGTGGTGAAAAAAAGCCAACCTGCCAACAAACTCCATGGCGAAAACCCCTCGTAACTTTGGGCCATTGAACAAAAACACACACCCAACAAAAAACACAAAAACATCTGCAGCTTGAAAATTCATATGCAGGACGCCCTTTTGGAGCCCCAAGGTACCTTGCAGGGAGTACAACACATGGACCAAGGGTCCAGAGCTCGGCTTTGGCCAAGAGCCTAGGGACATGCCATGCTGGAAGGCGGGCTGAGAAACAAACAAGCAGGGCCACCAAGCGGGTTGACCTGACAATAAGGTGGGTTTTTGATTTGCTCAAGTCAGTTGCCATGGGAAGCCTAAAGAGGCTCTTTGAACACCGCTTTACGCATGTTGAATCAGCTGGAAATCGTCCCATGGCATGGGCTGGGTCGTCTTATCTCAGGGTCTCTCTTTGATTCACCCGGTTGTATCGCTTCAAATCCCAAGCCACGCCTCATCTGGAGCGATTGGGATGTGTCCCCTCAGCCAGTGACAGTCTGCTAGAAATCCATACCTACTGGGTTCATAACGTGGATCCCGAATCGAAAATCGCAGGACAGCAGTCTCTCTCTCTCTCGTGCCATCGAATGTCTCGTCTGAAGCGCAGGGCATCTTGCCCACCGAGAAAGAAACTCAAACAGCAATACGGCCAGGGATCCTCAAAACATGACGGACGAATATGCGTCGCGCTTTCAGTCGAACAGCGCGTCCGCTCGGCTGCATGTTCCCAGTCAAAACCGTACGGGAATTGCCCACTTGTCTGATACCTTCCCAAGCAGCAAATTCCGGAATTTGTTGGGGGGGAGATATCACAAGACAACTTCATTCACACTGACCTGAAAATGACGCAGTCCCTGGCAAGCCTTGTGATTTCCTCTTGGGAATTCACATGTGCTTTTTTGGTACCCAAGCAACTGCCAGGGACCTGCCACTGAGGACTTTCTCCTCTCAGCGTCCCGCGGGTCCAAATGCTCACCTCGCCTGGCAAGGGAAAATTCCCCGGCGCCTGGAAGCCACAGGTCGGTGCCCTTTGGGATTTCCTTCACCGCAAACAAGTCGACATGTGACCCTTCTGTTTGTTGCGCGGAGGCTGAAGTCAACTTGGCAACCAGGTGATGTTTGAAGCATAGTTGGACCCCTGCAAGGGACAAAGGTGGGTCAGGCACGCAGAAGGAGGGCCATGGCTCAGGAGAAAGTCAAAGGGACCAGGAAACAATGGCGATGAACCCCTGGGAGGTGAGGCAACCCGGCCACCATCGCAAGAAGAACGCCACAACGTGTATCAAAGCGGCAGACTGCGAGAAAGGACTGCAAGCACGTACTGGATAAGCAAAGCCCAACGGAGGCACCAACTGGCCATGAAAGGCGCCCCCTCATTGAGTTTCTGCGTTCAAGTGCCTTCTGACGACAGGGCGCTGTTGCCTGGACAACTGCAGAGCTCTTCAGCCGCCACCCCACAAATGAAACAACTCACTCCAATATGTGTCAGCAAGTTATAGGGACCCCGCAAAAGCTAAACCCAACCTGCCTGACCAGGACGCTGTAAAGATTCCGGTGGTGCAAGTGCATGACTGCACCTGCCTCGACATGCCTTGGCGCAAAGGAGCGTGACGCAAGCGGGCCGAAATTCAACCGGGTATGTGCCAACCAAATTTGTCCTTGCAAACTCGGGGCACCAACGTGCCTATGCTGCTTGGACATGCGATACGATCGATAATATCCCATTTGCAAGCATGCTGCAGGGGCTCCTAGGGTTCGGAGCCACGGCTACAGCAGCCCTCGACATGAAACGCCCCAGTGCTGGCTAGTTTCACCCAAGCACTGAGGCCCCGGCTGCCTATGCTGCTCACAGAGGATGTGGAGAAGCAAGATGGCTCGAGGGACAAGACCTGTTCGCGTGCCATTTGCTTGACGGCCATTTGACTTGCTGAGGGTTGTTGTTTGGGGGAAACTTCAAAGCGAACACACCCATCTTTGGGGTTCCCCCATTAAACTATTCGTTGACTCCGGCTGCTGGCTGAGTTGGCAAACTCCAGCCAGCATACATGAAACAACTGCCAAAAACGCAGCATGGCACCCCAGACACAAACCGACAAACCTCTGTGTGCGCGTCTATGTGATGATCAGTCGGGCTGAAGACGATGTTCGAGCGGCTGTCGGACAGCTCCAAGTTCTGAGTTTCTTTCCCCGCGAAATGGGAAGCTTGCCCTTTGGCAAAAAACACCACCGGAACCCTCAAAGCCAGATGCACCCGCATTGACCGCGCACTGAAGTCCGCGCACTGCAGAGAAAACAAACAAAGAGGTGGCCCGGCAAGAGCCCCAGGCCTCTTCCCCTGCGGCCATGGCTAGGTGTGGACAAAAAGGGGGCGTATATGAAATCGGACTAAGGCAATAACCCGCCCGATTGCGTGCCCGGCCTTGTTCAAGCCCACCTTGGCCTGCAGGATCCTGACGGGTGCTCAGCGGAGCTTGGCCTGCTCAATGGGCGACCCAGGATGTTAAGCCCAAGACATTTGGTTCCAAGGAAATCCATCCAACATATTCTTCCGCCATCCTGATGCTTGAACTGCCGCTAAGATGGTCCCCCCTACCCCCACACAACTTCCAGGGGGTTCATGAGAGTCCCAACCGCTGCAAAGCCACACAAGGGTAGAGGTTTGTGGATTCCGTCTTAGTCCGCCAAGCTTGGCCAGGATCAGTCCACCTGCTGCTGGTGCGGTAAGCCGTCTCCAGGGCTTTGGGGGTTCCGAAAAAGCACCGCGGGCTGGCGTCAAACACCACGTCAGCCAGGAACTCCTCTCGTCGAACAGGTCGACCCAAAGGTCGACCACTCCCGTCCTGCCGAAGGAGGTGCCTAGCAGGAAATGCGTCGTGTCGCCAGAGGTGATCGGCTCCATGGCAAGGAGACCCTCGCGCTCACAGCATCCGCAGCACCTCACTGGCTGGTTCCGCTGGACTCCTGGACCAGCTGGCTTCCCTTTCCCGACGCTTAGTCATCGGATCGATTTGTTCCCAAAGGACAAGCCAAGCAGCTCAGAGGCAAAAAGGGCAAAAGGAAACAAAGGCCGGGGGAAGCTGCTTCCTGCAAAACAACACCGGCGACCAAATCCTGCCCCTCCCGCCCACCCAAAATTGCACCTCCCTCCTCTGGAAAACAAGAGTTGGAACCCTGTTGGCTCCATGTTCAGTCCCCAAATCCAGCACAAGGATTTCAATTCACATCTGCCTTCCGAAAGCCAAAGCTAGGCGTCCGGCCGGTTTTTCTCGCTGCCCGGGCGGAGGGGCACAGAAGTGCGAGACGCCAAATTGCAGGTGTGCAGGTCGAAGACCAGGACCTTCGGCGAAAACGGTGTCCCACTACTTTGTTTGGTTGGCGGAGCCATAATTTTTCCCAAAGTTAAACCCTCGGTACGGGGTAAAGTTAAAAGGGCATGACCCAGTTTCTGACTTTGATCCCCAGAAGCAGTAAAAAATACGAGTCCAGTAAAATGGCCTCCACCCCCAACACACAGCCTCTTGGGATGGCTGAAGTCTGTTGCGGCTGGGATTCTTTTAGGACGCGGAGTCCCTTACTCCGTCTATTTCCCCAAAGTGCCACTCCCAAATCCAGACCTCTGGACGTCCACGGGAAAACCGGGCGCCTCTGGACGAAGATGTTGCAGAAACCCAGGCCCACTAAGATTTTGTAAAATTTTACCTGTTGTCCCAATGTCCAAGGCACCCTCATCATTAACTTCCTTGCGGCGCTTTCCTCAAAGAAGAGGTATGTCCAAACCGGGCATACGAAAGGCCTGCTTCAACTGCGGGGTTTGATCCTCCGCGGATTTCTTTGAGACTCTTTTGGTGGCTCCCTCTCACTTGGCCAGGAGAGGCTCTGAGGCGTGTCAGCTTGGCTTTCCCGAGACCAAAGCATGCAAGCGCACAGGCCCAATTTTACAAGCCTGTCCTTTCGTCCTGCCATGCCCAAAGCGGGTTCGAGTCAACTCATATGGGGCTCGCCTACAACCTCAAATGCAAGGGTCTCCCATAGGCTTCCCTTTCGATTTCCACTAAAGGGTGTGGCTTCGTCGCTTTGAGCAACTCCCAGTGGCTTCGGATTTGGGCCCCGGGCAGTGCCATCGAGGAACCCGCAGAAGACGGCGTCCTCTGCCACGTGCAGAGCCACGCAGGGCTCATCGGCGTGGGCGTTGCCAAGCTGCGGGGTGATGGGCAGGCGAGCCACCTCCAGGGCCTGAGGTCCGGCGTTTTTCTAGTGCGCTGGTCACTGAGATTCTTATTTGGGTTTCATATGTTGGTTTCAGTTTCATATTAGCCCACTCTAAAATGCGAGACAGTGCTGGAGGAGAGACTCCCCCAGGACAGGGGGACTGGAACCCACCAATCCAAACAAGAACCTTTGATGAGAGTGAACTCCGAAGAATATCCTTGAAAGAATATTTGCAAACGCTACGTATATGTATAGGAACAAGCGAGGTTCCGGCCATGACCTGCCGCATGCAAAATGTCCGTCCAATGTCTTATCCAGGTTCCGACACCAATCCACCCCAAACCCGTCTTATCACCTATGTCCACCTATGTCCAAAACCCCCACCCCACCACCCGAGTCGCATCAACCCAACTCCCCCCCCCCCCCCATCCGACTCCGCACCTCGTGTTTCTGGGCCTGCCACAGCCGCAGGCCGTCCCCGGACATGGTGCACAAGGCGCCCACGCCCTGGAGGAATCGCTCAGGGGAATGAGGGGAGGTCGTGCCTCGGCTTGGTTGCTGATTCTTGGAGAAGGTTCCTTAGGCATCACTGAAAAGTTGGCTTGAGGTCATAGGGTAAACGAATCTGGACAAAATCTCGCGAATGTCCCGTGCCTTTTCCTTTCTGAAGTGGGAGCGAACACTTCGCCAGTTCTGGACCCCGGGATCGTGGATATCAGCGCTGCTGGGATTGGAATGTTTCCACCCCTGGCAGTAACCGAAACTCGGGAGGGTCGTGTCCCACCCAAACATGCACCATTTCAATACAACACATTGAAATAGACATGAAAGCTGCCATGGTTGATCCCAGAGCAAACTGTTCGAGCCCCCGGCAAACGGATGATATTTTGTTGCGCCATCCTGAGTACCACATCAATTTCACAAATGCGGGGGGGACAATGCTGAGAGCGCGAAAAACAGTGCTGGATCTGCCCACCCGCAGGAATCAAAACAGCGCGACCTGGGTGTGAAATCATGTGTAAACAAAAGCTTGCCGAAGAAGGAAGCTGAGTACTCGGTAGAAGAGTTTGGGCAACATCGGATAATGGGATAGCAGCTCATAACCTGGAATTCGGGGAAAAAGGGACAGGGAAAACGCACAGTGATCTACAATGCACGTTTAGGCCACAGCCTGGATCGTGAAGAGCGAAAAGCAAAATCACACAAGGGGCATCCTAACATCCTCTCGGTCCGATCTGCCCTGCAAAGCGGGAAAGAACAACTAAAAAAGGCAACTTGTGACAGGATAAGCCGGGCTGAGCATCGGGAAAGCCAGCGTGAGCATCCAGGAAGCCATGGCATGCGCAGCAAGCAGAAGGGCTATTGGCCCAAGCTTTGTGACCAATCAAGTTTCACCTTGCTAAGCAAGTCTGAAACCTGCAAACAGCGGGACAAAGCGTGCTGACACACGGACAGGAATTAGACAAATGAGCTCTTGCAAAGATAGCCTATGTTCATGACAGACTGCTAGGCCCAATAGGGTAACCAGCTGCTTTTGGGGGAAGACTGGGTTCAGAAAGTCACATCCTCACAAGTTCAATACCAATTCTAAATTCAATCTTGAACCCCTCGAATGCTCGCCTGAATGGACCCAGAAAGAGGCTGCCCAACATGGGTGGTTTCTGTTTGGCTTCCCTTCAAACGCCACTTTTTAGCTGGATATTCGGTGGAAACCCACCGGCTTCGACGTTTTCCGCGTGGTCCATGGCTTTTGCGCCTCCACCACGCCAGCGGCCATATGCTGCGGAGCCGGTGGAAAGCTCTGCAGCGGCACCAGGCAGTCCTGGTCCAGCTGGAAATACCTGGCCGGAGATCCATTTGGCCTGGGTCAAAACCCAAATCGTACCCCCAGTGAACATCCCAATCCCCACTAAAACTGGTTCTAACATCGGTGGTGCACCTACCAACCAAAAAGGTACCATTGGTGTTGACCCACAGCCATATGGGGTCCCCGAGCCCAAAACAACAAGCCGAAAAGCCAGAACACATCCAAGCAAACACTGCCCACCAAAATGGAACTACCCTCGGTATTTCTTCTGCTTTCTGTTGCTGTGCTGCAGCTGCGCCTAAACAACACGTCATCACCACTTCTCTCTGTAAGGCCAATTGGAACCAGCGAAATGACAGATTGAACATGACAAAAGGATGATTGAAGGTCGCCGAAGCCTGAAGACCAACAACATACTTGCCAGGCACAAACAAACGAGCAACTTCTTTGTTGAGGGCCTCCTGAACATCAGCCCACGGGCGAAAGTTGCTTTGATTCGCAAATGAGAACCCGGCGGCTTCATTTTCGAGAGGTCACCAGAAGAAACAAATTGAACAAATAAAGTCAAACCGACAAGAACACAAGAATGCCACCCCCCCGACCCCCCCTCCCGGACCCCCCAACCCCACCCCTCCGAGTGTCCCGTTGCATCTGCCCAGCTCACCAAATGGTGTTGGCCGCAGTGGCTACCACGCCGCTTTCGGCGTTGAGCAGCCGCAGGGCGCACACGTCGCCGTCCAGGTCTAGAACTGGCGGTCGAAGAGGGACCAGAAGGCCCAGACGTGTGGCCCACATGGTTGTTTAAACAATAGGGCAACAAGTGGCTTTGAGTTTGGGTTTTGGGTGTTAACACCTTTGCATGGAAAACAACAGGAGGTTGTTCAAACAATAGATGCATAAACCTATGGTCTGAAAGGGGGGTTGGCCAGTGGTGCAGGTCTGGGGCGTGCTATTGTTTGTTGCACTCTGTGCCGCGCGCCTGGCTGCCCAATAATTAGGCTTGGTCCATGGTCATAAATGAGATGCTCTAAAGCTTCTAAGCTCGGGCTCACAATGCTCAAAATGTGTAAATCCCCGTTGTAAGCGAACGATGGGGGTATCCGAGGCACCCAGTTTCCATTTCCACCGCTTGCCCGAATATTTGGGCATGCAGCCTTCCGGCAAACCCCGTAATACCGAGGCAGTGCTCGAAATGATGAAAAGGCCGCAAGGTCCGAAAAATCGAACTTTGGCTTGGCAGACATGAAAACTGGCAGACTCGGACCCGGAAAGTCCTAAGCCTGCGAGCCTTGTGATGCCAAACGCACCGGAGGAAATCTCCGACAGCCGCCAGACCTTGTGTTGACTACCAGCCCTGTTGTTTTGGAGGCGATCCTTTTTGGGGGTAGAGGAAAACCGAAAGGAAACCACCAGTGGGAGGGTTGCCCTGCATTTGGAGACAAACCTACTCGAAAGTTGAGAGACAAACTTTCAAGATCTTTCCAAGGGCCCTGAGTCAGGTTGCAGATTCGGGGGTGGTTCAGACACATGGCAATTGATAGCTTGCCATGCTCAGGAGGGTGATGACTGCATTTCCCAGACTTGGCTCTCGAAAAGGAGTGCTAGGCTTATTCCTTGATCGCGCATGGTTTGGCCTGGCTTAAGAAGCTTGGGGATAACCGTTCTTTTGACTCTTGGCCCTTCACTCTCCAACAAAACCATGTTTCTACAAACAATAGCCCTATACCATTGAAAGTATTCGCTGTGACCAACAACTCCCTGCTGCCACAAGACTAAATGTTGAGAAAAGTCGCCGTGCGTGAGCCTCCAAATGGACTCCCAGAAGCTATTTAACCACAGGATCCCCCCCCCAATCCAAACATTCCTCCCTGAGATGGGGCAAAACAAGCAACCAAACTTCCTTCTCACTCAAATCTTAACCCTAAGGCTGTCAAACTTGTTGTGCCCCTAAAAGCCTTTTGTTTTGTTTGCCAACCCCGTTCCAAGTCCGAAACGGACCTCGACAGTGAGCTTCCGCCTGCTGGACTCCGCGCGGCGGCGCCGGCGCCCGCGGGCGTCAGGGTGTAGAGGGCCGGCCCAGCGCCCAGGGCCAAGATGGGCCCATGGGAGGAGAGGCAAGTGACCCCTGGGCGCTCGGAGATCGGACTGAAGAAATTTGTGCCGAAATGGGGGAGTTGGTGCGGGGGGGGGGTTGTTGGGCCGGTCTGAGGGCTGGAGCTGGAGTTTCAGGAGCTCTGAAGTAGAAGGGAAAGAAGGTGCAGGAAGCTTCTTGAAAATAAAGGGGCTACTTAAAGGCATGTTATGCTCCTTTTGGCAAGCGCTCCACTGCTTGCCTCCGAGAACCTGCGAAGCAACAAGCTCAGAGCCACCTCTATGCTTCATGCACAAACAAAATGTCCCAAAGTTGGACAGCCCAAAAGGGGACATTCATAAACAGGAATTCTGCCCATGTATCTGGCCCTTGGCCTGAAATAGCCACCTAAAGTGAAGCATGTTTTGTTCGGATGCCCCGGCTTGGCCACCAGGCTCAGCTCCCTCGGCTCCCTCATGCTGAGCCCGCGGCGGCCTGACACAGACAGCGGAAGCCTGCGGTCAAGGCGCCCAAGATCTGCGCGTCTGGAAATTGCACTGGTCCTGTTTCAAGCCGATACGAGTTGACCATCTCGGAGACACACGACGCTCATTCTTTCACAAAGATCAAAGTCACCCTGTAAAATGTCTGCTTAAGGGAAACAACCCCTTTTTCTGATTTTGATAACCCCCAGAAACAATCAACAAATGACCCCACACGGATGTCATTGGTCTGACCACATCCGCGAAGCAACCCGGGCGCCCGGCAACGAGAGCGGCACGTTGTCGTCGGCATCGTGGATCCACAGCGCGCCTGGCGGATGGCGGATCGATGCGGATCGCCTCGGGCCGCGAGATGATGGACGTGGGGTTCTCGTCCGGGTGAGTGATCTGTAGGGGGAAACTTCAGGAATTGCATGTGCCGCTTGGACTGGATGGTAAGTTAGCAATGGGCCGTTTAAGCACCAGTCCTCTGCAAACATGACCCCAAGTTGTTCAAACTAACAATACTGCAGCTTCTTAAATTGGTGCTTTGAAGGGTAAGGGGTAGGCTTTCCCACGTAGTCTCCACAAGAACCATGAATCCGCACCACCAACTCCGCGGTATCTGAAATATGTCATCTTGGTAAATCTCCAGTGCAACTCAAGAACCCTCGGAGTCATTGCCTTGCGCTGGGTGTGGCACCTGCATGAGTGAGCGTGTTGATTCTTTCCATGTATGCTGGTTGGACAGTCTGGGGGTGGCTTGCTCTGAGGTGTCAATCCGTTCCAGTTGGTAATATATGCACCTGACTAATAAAACATGACCACTAATCTCCAAAACACCACAATCACTCTACACCACAAATCTCCAATCTCCAGTCTTATTAGGGGGGAATGTTAGAACCAAGACAAGACCAATACTAAACCAATATTTTAAATAAACTTGAAACCTGTGTGAAACCAGCGCAAATCCAAATAACAAACAACTTTCAAACTCCTTACTCGAAATTGCAATGTTCAACGGTTTTCGGGCCCGGATAGGCGTGACCCGATTTGGACGAGGACCGTGGTTGACCCCCGAATCACAATCACACATGTACCCTAGTCACATCGTTGGGTTCTCAGGAGAATATATTTATTGCTGGGGGGGGGGGCGGGAAGGGGGGCCGCAAGGGTCAGGGATTAAAATCCTGCGTATTTGCCCTTCGGCAAGCTGTGAGGCTTAGATTCAAGTGGCAAAGGACAACATGGCCTTAAGGCCTCGAGCACGATGGACGACATGACTCCCAACATCCAAATTGCACTCACCTTTGGTCAGGTTTACCCTCGTCATACCCTCGTCCAACCCGATTCAGACAAAAAACGCATCCGGCTTGGCCTCCATCTCACGCTCGCAAACAAGAAACACTTATCCATACCCTCGGCTTGCTTTGGGGAGCAAGCTTTGATGGGCCATTTGTTGCTCAAAACTGGCAGTGTACCCACACCACCTGTTCAGCACCCTCAACCCCAACAACCTCCCCCCCTTCACAGGTCAGCACATTTCACCTAACCCCGCACATCCGACCCAAGACAAAGGGCCCCCTTTCCGCTCCTTCGGCGGATGCCACGAAGACCAACTGGCATGGCTCCTCGGATTCCGCCACTCCTGGCGCTTGGCCGAAATGTCCGGATTGTACCTGGTGCCCTGCCAATTAACACGGAAGGGGCGTCCTGAAAGACCATCTTCCTTAAGGGACTGTCAGGCGCCACATTCATTGGTGGGAGGGTACCCGTTTTTGGGGCTTGTTTACCAGGCAAACCGGACACACTGCTCGTTCCTTTGAGCACCAAGCATGAGAAAGTCAAAGGCTTTCGGAAGCCTACCGTCATGTTGAAAAAAGGGCCACCCTGCGCACTCCCGCCACCGTGCCTGTGTTTCTCACCGTGCCACAACAAGCAACACGAACGAATAGGACAAGGAGCCGATGGGGGACCATTGAGTTCTAGCTGGAGCACTAAGACAATCCTCTCTCCGTTCAAATGATGCCACTGGATCACCTTGCGATTGTGAAACCATCGGCCTGCGACTCTACAAGCTCATTCCACTCCTTCAAGCCCGGCAGTTTGCTAGATTCTGGCGTGTTTCCCCCCAAAGCACCCCCTTCCCTGAAAGCTCACATGAAAACCACCCGGAAGTAGCCCGATCCAAAAAACGTGGTGGGATTCAAGAGATGCCGAAGGACACAGCTAGGACTACGAATCAACAACATCATCGAACCGCCTGTGGCGATGGCCACGAACTCGGCCGACAGGTCCCATTCCGCCTGGGCAAACGGTCCGAGAGAGATAACAACAAAAAACACAAGAATCACTTGAAACGTAAAATTCCGCCATTGTACATAAGGTTAAGCCTTCAAGCAGAGTGATTCAAAGGGCCACGTGTGACCATGCAGCAGTCAAACCTCTTTGAGCCTCATGTTCACTGCGTTTGCACGGTCGCCGCCACGCCAGAAAGAGGGCAATGGAACAGATCCTAAGCCTGGAGTGTCCCATAATCCTTGGAAACCACTACAATAGGGGCGAAACCCTTTCATCACTGGGAGATATCTTGAGAGTTTTCTTCTGGCCCAGTTGGCTGCTTGTTCAAGGGAGCGCCCCTTTGCCTCTTCTGTCCGACGAGTTTGGCACACGAGGGAGATCTACGATACCTCCAGGGCCATGCGAATCCTTAGGTAGAACCCCCCCCCCCCACAAAAAAAAAGCAAAAACAACTAAAGCATACCACAGCAACAAACCAATGCCCGGCACTCCCCCGACCACTTCTTGGACTTGGGCTGAACTTTGAAAACGCCCGTTAAACGACACGGGTGGACCGAAAAAACCTCGGTGGCCCCACCGGCCCCCGAGTCAAAGCCTTCCTGAGGCCGACGGCTGGCACCTCCGCCGACTGAAACTGAAGACCTCGGATCCATTGGATCCATAGGCCTTTTGGAACAACAGGTGGCCCAAAAGGCCATGGAATAAACCATCTAAATCAGCGCCATCGATTTTTGCACCTATCGGATCCCCCACTTTTTCTGGTGGAAGAATTGGCGAGGCACCGGTTTCGGCTTTGTCCCTAAATGGGCCGGAGACTGCGAAAGTCTTGGCCGGACAAGAAGCAAACACACACACACACACACACCCGCCCAAAGGAAAAGGTGAGTGGCCTTTCATTTTTCCTGCACGCCGTGCCAGGATATAGTATACAATGCAAAGGCCACCCATCACCAAAATGACAATCACCTGTACCAACTCCGTCGTTTCACACTTCACACATTGGCAAACAGCAAAATCAGTGTAAAGGTTGTAAGATTGGATGTAAACATGTTCAACGTCATCCCAGTTCGGGCCTGCTTACCTATCTGTTTTCGCCGCGCTTGAAGCATAAATGGCTAGCATCCCAGCCCAGCCTCGGTAAGGCCTTATCACTTTCATCAAGAAAAACGTTGCGCGAGACCATGTCTGGCTGTCGGAAGCCTGCCATTCATGAACAAGCAGCATCAAGAAGGTGGCAATGACGTGTGGAAAAGTAGTTGTCCCCTTGTTTGCTCAGGCAAGCCATCCGAAACTCTCAAGCCTATAGCTTGTGCCTCCAAACAATCAGATGAATCCTGGTCGATCTTTCAGGAACCTGAGCATGACAAGGTTTGTCTCTACGGCTTTCCACCTGGTTCCCCTTCAAACCCACCCATGTCAAAATGATTACCCTCCCACCAGTTCACATGACAGCTGACACGCGGGTGTTTGGTTGGGACAATCTTCGTGTTGAAAAAAAAACAACGGTGACGGGGGGTTCCATGTTAGTTGGTGGGAGGCGCTACCTCAAACACAGACACGCACCAAACGTCGTGACCGGCGTCGTCACTCCGGGCCCCGAGTGCCCGGGCGTGCACAGGTGGCATCAAGGTCCTCGAAGCCTGAGCTAACGGTACCGCCAGACGTGTGACATGTGGCCGTGGCTGGTAAAAATGCAAAAATCAGTACCCCAAATGGAGCCCTGGCAAGTGGAAACATGCACCAAAACCTGTGGTCCCCTGGTGAAATAATTTTGACCCATACCCACCTCGTCAGCCGGTTGATCGATGCGATCGTGCACCGGCCTGCCGCCGTATCCAGGTCGCACTCGTCGTCGCAGCGCCAGAAGGTCAACCCGGCGCGAGTGAGGACCTAGAGCCATGGATCAAGTGTTTCCAACGCACAAAAGTTCTAGTTTTGCTTTGCTTGGGTCGTTCTAAGCCCTTAGACGGCCATGTTTTTCTCACAGCCGAAACCTGGCCCTAAATGTGGACCCAACACCATGTCATCAGTCAAGAGGCGGCCGGGCCTATTTTTGGCGCGCTAAGACAGAATGAATATGCCCCTGGCTGAGCAATAGGGGCGAGGGATTCTTTCCCATTTCAGAGGGCATCTGTCACTTTTGGGGGGAACTCCCCCTGCACTCCCCCTACCAATCCACGCACTTGATTCATCCGGGGTCAACTCTCGAGAGGACTTCCACTTCCGTCAAGCCAGCCCAAACAAAGGCTTATCTCGCCAGCACCTATCGCGCAAAGGTGAAATACAGAGCCAGGGTTGAGCCTTTAACCCCTCACTTAAACAGCCTCTGTGTCACCTCTCGGGGTCTAGGGTCCATTTCCTTTTTCCCTGGAGGTCCAAATCTTCCCCCCCCCCCCGGAGGGCGGCATCGGCGACTTCGGTCTGCGGCCGCGGCCGCGAACTCGTTGCCGCGCAGCAGCTCGAGGCCCAGCACTTCCGCGGTCAAACCCGCCGTGGCCCACGGGCCGCGGCTGGCGCCGGCGCCGACGCCGATGCTGGCGCCGGCGCCGAAGCGCCACACGTCCACCTGAGGCGTGGGAGGAAGGAGTGGAGGGGGGGGGGGGGTGGGGTTGGTCAGCGAGACTTGTGTAGAGAAGGGGAGGTGGGGTGGAGCGGGGTGGAGTGGGAAGGAGTGCGAAGAAGATTGGGGAGGAGTGGGGTAGTTGCAACTCTAGCGGCACTTGACCATCTTGACCGCTTGCCATCCCTTGCAGAGGGTCTGGTGGCACACGCCAGTCATGGACCCCCGCTATAATAATTACGTGATCAGGCTGCTGAACCTGAGTCTGAAAATGCTTCTCCTGGCCCACGGAATGGGGTTGGCTTCAAACCACTCTGGGTGACTTTGTCTCCAAATACCCAGCAGTTTGAAACGGAAGCACAGCCGCACAAATAATTTTGGGCCTGAACATTGGTCTCTCACTAGGGAATTGTGCAAAGCAAAGTCACTATTATTGGGCAGTTCCTGATTTGGAAACGTGCCCGAATAGCCCCATCAAAAACAGACTCCTGTCACACCAGTATCTCAATGCGTTTTCCGGGCTCTTGCACCAGTGTGATGTAGCATGGGATCCAGGCCACATGAAAGCTGCCAAGACAAACTCGTTCCATTGCAATATGACATGCGCCATGGAGCTTTGCAGGGGAAGCTTTACATAGGGACATGTTTCCACCAACTAAACACCATCATTCTTGATATAAACAAGTCAAGTCTGATAGAAACAACAGGTCATTCTATCAAAAAACAAGTCTGATAGAAACATGTCCCTCCGTGTTGAGGGTTGCTTGCCTATCAAGAAACAAGCACCTTCGGAGTCCCTCCCAGTGAGGATCACTCTCCAGCCAAGTGGCCCGGGATCCTCCTTCACAGCTCCCTGAGGAAAGTCGGGGCTGTCATGTCATGTCCTTCCATCTACAGTGAAGTAGATGGCACAATTCCATCAGAAGTAAAAGGCATGACTAACCCAACATGAGGGCATTGTGCCATCTACTTTCACCCAACTGTACCAAAGGCTGAACTGTGTGCCTGAAGGCACGGCTTCTCCTTGTTTTTGATTGCTTTCACTTTTTCATGAGTACCCATTTGGCGGGGTGATTTGGGGCATGGTATGCCTTCATCCTTTCCAGGGATCCTTCCTTCCAGCAAACCCGCCAAAACCCGAAGGAACTAGGTTGCAAATTGGGAACCAACCTTATGGACATATCGTGGGTGCGGTCCAAAGCGTTGCTGAAGAAAACTGGCTGGTTGACGAAGGCAAGCGTGCAAATATGGTCCACGCTCTGCTTCAAGCAAGGGGCGGCAAGCAAAACTCGGTTCCAAACAGGTTAGTGCAAGAAGTGCTCTGGTCTCAGCGTCCATTTGATGACTTGCAGTGCAAGATTCCACTGAGTGATCCAATCGCAGAATGTGTGTTCCCTCTGCTTGCTCAATCAAGGGCCCAGCTGACATCTCAAATTGGAGAAATCTGGTGTGTTCCCTCTGCTTGCTCAATCCAGGGCCCAGCTGACATCTCAAATTGGAGAAATCTAGGGCAGTTGCACGGCACACATTGTTCAACTCGGCATGTCGTGCTGAAGGGTCAACTCGTTTTTGGGGAATGGTAGGGTGACTAATGCACAACATGTGGGCCCCTTGTACTGTCTCCTGCGATGACAAAGGCAGGTAATCACTTTTCACACCTGAGTCTAAGCTGTAAATGTGCTCCGTTGTAACGGCAATATGGCTTGTCCTGCAAGCACGTGGTTCTCTGCAAATACGTCATTTGATGCGTTGTGCAAGAAGACACCAACGCGTGCCAACACTAACTGACATTCAGCTGCAATCTGAGGCACTTGTGTCCATAATCACTGAACATAGGAAAGTTGTTTGAGTTATGACTGTTTCCATTTGAAAGCCAATCTCACTTGCCCAAAGGACCTGGAATTCAAAGGTTGGGCTTCTCTGTGGCTGTTGCCCCCAGTGCAAGACATCTGACGTTCATAAATGCTACCGGATAAAGATGCAAGCCAAACGCAGCCAAGTTCTGGGCATTCGCTTCGGGCAACTGAGCGAGAATCACCATTCTCGCTCTGGATGAAGCTTGGGGCAATTGTCTGTACGCAGCCACAGTATTTCGTTTGCCTGTTGAATAGTCAACCAATTAAAAATCTGAAAGGAGAATGGCCGGTGACCTACGATCCGCTGGGCGGTACACTGTACACCAACTGGTGCCCGGATGATAGTGGGTGACCCCACTGGAGCCACCAATCCAAACCACCCATTGAGGAATGAGAGTGGCGGCTGGAATCTGGGACCCACGTCGCCTGCAGTGATGGCCATCTGCCTGCCCATGAGGCGCAGCGCAGCTTTCGCCTGGGGAGGCTTCTCCCTTCCTCCCAAAATTAGGGGACCAGTTCACAGCTCAAAGCCAGGCAAGAAGGAGCAACTCAAAAACGAACACTTTTGGTGGAACCCTCAAAAACAACTTGGATCATTGGGCGACGAATCCGAGCTACATTTCGCCTGCTGAGCTCTCTGGGCACGTGGGATGCTCCAAGGGGCCCTGGCTCCGTAGTGCGGTAGCTCGAGCTGTTCCATCTGCTCGTCTGCAAAGCGCCGGAGGCACATCCTGAGCGGCTCGCGGCTGGCGGCTGGAAAAGGGGGGTGGGCAGCGACGAGGGTTGGGCAGGGGTAGGGCTTGTTGGGACTTATATGGCTGTGGGTCAAAACCCTGCCCTGGTGAACATCAACAAAGGTGGTGCATGGGTGTTCATCCGCCCCAAAATGGAGGCATAGGTCATGGGGCACTCGCTAGAACTCACCTGCCAGGGGAGCTGAGAATTTTACCCAGGTCCTTCTTTTCAGGCGAAGGCCCGAAACTCACGCAGCGGTTCAAACAAAGCATGGGCCAACCAGCTGAGAAAGTTGAGAATTTGGGACCCGCCAATGGGTTTTACTCTTATTTAAGGTCCCTCTTGGTGGCTGCAGGAAAAGGAGAGCCAGGGGCATGAAATTCACGCATAGCCTCCCACATATTGAACAAATCTTTGTAACTGAGTACCGTTGTGAGGTTGATGCATCCCATTTGTGTCTTTTTCAGCTTCTGCTGACACTACCGTACCACCCCCCCCTTCCCCAGATTCTACCTTCATGCCCACTTTTGTGCCCACACAACTTAACCAGCCAAGTGCAAGAAACAAAGCAGCCCAAGAAATGCCAGAGCGGTATGTACGAGTCATCACTGACCGCTGGAGCTCCGCTGCAAACATGCCATGCTTGAGCTGTGTGAACCTACAAAGCTGGCATGACCCTGACCTGGCAGGGACCTTTTTCCGGGTTCCCTGTTCCATGGCAACGTTGTTGAGCCGGGCAAGGGATCGTGGTAGCAGGGGGGGCTACCTGACCCCCTAAGGCCTCCCTGGCCAGGGGTGCCCGGCCCTGCCTGCCGAGGCGCCGTGCCGGCGACATGAAGAGAGCACCCACACCACGGCCTCCGGGGTCCATGTCCACCGCCTCAGCAACGAGAACCCCAGAACCTGCTCTGACCGCACCAGGTACCATGACTCTCCATGAGTGAAGGACCTTTGTGGATGTCAGCTTGCCCAAAACGGCGATGGGAGCTTGGCTAGGTCCTCCAACAGAGAGGTTAGAATAAGGGTACCTTTTTCCGTAGTCTGTTTTAGTACGGGAACCCTTTTCCACAACAGGGTAAAAGGGCACTACTGGGGGACCTAGTTGTGGGTGAGCTTGCCCCAAACGGCGATGTGAGCTTGCTAGAATTCGTGGAAAACGATGGTGGCTGCGGGGCGCATGAGGCTGGGGCCGGGACCATTGCCCAAGGTCCGCCGTGCTTGGCAGGTGCCCGCGCGCACTCGCAACTTAAAGGCCCAGAGATAAAAGAACAAATTTGCGAACAAAATCTGAAACAATGCGCCACCTATTCACCCACCCCTTTTTGCTTTTCTGTGGGAAACCATTAACCGTGTAGCTTAGCACCCAGTTCTCTCCGGGCCCATGAGAAGAAGTCCTCCCTCGTGTGCCAAACTCGTCGGACAGAAGAGGCAAAGGGGCACTCCCTTGAACAAGCAGCCAACTGGGCCAGAAGAAAACTCTCAAGATATCTCCCAGTGATGAAAGGGTTTCGCCCCTGTTGTAGTGACCTACACTGAGGCCCGACTAGACAGGCCAAAATGGCAGCTATGGACAATTTATTCAAATCTGGGACGGCTTGTAAGCCTTGAAAGCGGTCGGAAAGTCTGGCAAATGAGAGGCCAGAAAAGGAGCACTTCGGCTTAGGGACTGTCTCGGACCGGTTGACAAAGCACGAAGGGTCCAACAGTTGGCTTTACACAGCTGAGCCGAGAACAAACACAGAGGAGGAACAACAACTCGAGACAAGGTACTGAAGCATTGAATAACTTTGCCGGCTGGACCCGACCCGAAAAGGGGAAGGCCCCCAGTGAAGGATATTCCGCGAATGCTTTTCAAAAGTGCAAAAAAAACCAAGGCCTAACTCCCATCTGCAGGACAATCAGTCTCACCTTTGGAAAACTACCGATGCAGTGAACAAGGACGCCGGACATTTGGGTGGTCCTCCCTTTCTTTGGGCCATTACAGGGTCTTTGCCCGCGCAACTGTCATGCAACCGAGTCGCGATTGCCTCCCATTCCTCTTCCTGCGCAAAGGAAGGAGGCGCTTGCGTTTGACACTTGCCGATGACATTTGCATTGAGATTGCGTTGCTGCTCGACGCGTGTGGGGGTGCCTTCCCTTTTTGGCTTGCTTTTTCGGTCGAACAAATTGGAAACCAGAAGTTTTTGGACACACAGTTTTAACACAGACCCAGCTGGAAGAGTGAGTTTGCCGAACTCATTGTCGGAACGACTTGTTTGGCCCTCTCAGCATGAATCCCAGATTTGAGAGGAGCCTCCTTTTGGGTGACCCGCATTTGGTTTCCAAGTTATTCAGCAGGGGAGTGAAACTCTTGGAATGGTTCGTGTCATAAGCGACCCCGGCAGTGACTGAACGAGCCAACATGGAAGTACTCAATAGGTCCAGGCTTCAGAGGAAAACACTCTTCCAAGGTTGTGAAAGTTGGCACAATTCCTGATGGATTCTTGGTTGCTGTTGACCCCCCTGCAAGAAGTTTAACTTTTTGGGGGCTTAGTGGAAAACACCTTGATTTTCCAAAAAGTTAAAGTCTAAAGATCCAACCAAATAGCTGTCAAGGGATATGGCTCGGCTATAGGTAAAGGGGGCTGAGTCGTGCCAACCAGCGGATTGGTGTCTCGCTCACCGGATCGTCCATCGTACCCGCACCTCTGCCGGCGAGGCAGGCCTAGCGGTCTGGGTTTGCTGATTCTCACTAGGGATGGGTGTCCTTTCCAGGGGACCCCCAATAATTGGCGGTGTTCCTTGTGGTTATCCTTTAAAACCACCAAAGAAAGGGGCACCATCAAAAAAAGACACACCCGAATCTGCAAGGAGATTTGGGAATGAGCCGTGGATCGATCCCCAAGCTATAAGGTGATGGTTCGTAGGGATGACTTGCGGACCAGAGGCCTTAAATGTGGGCTCCAAGATTCTTACACTTCCCAACTGGGGCCTCTCTTTCATGGCCATGTGGTTGCATATCCCACTGAACCCTTGGGCTATGGACCTTCATAAACGGAAATATCCCAAACATGAAATCAGAGGCCCCCTACCCAAGAGTTGCCACTTGTCGCCTCTACGCTGCCATGTTGGCCGGGTAGGGAGGTTACCACACCCACCACACCCATGCGGGTCACAACCAAAACCTGCCATTGTATCCGTTTGGCTGGGACTGTCTCCTGACCTTAACCCGGTTGTTGTTGCTGAAGGGAGCCAAAGGAAACTCACCATGAGTCACATCCCCATATCAATATGGGCGTGCCTTTAAATGCAGGACCCTGCAAAATGGCTGCTTTCCTGTTGGTTTCCGTTTCCACCCACCCGAAAGCCCTGCTAGAATGGCTGCTTTCCTGTTGGTTTTCGTTTCAACCCACCCGGACACCCTGATAAAATGGCTGGGTTTCAGCCAAATCAAGATTTGGCCCAGGTTCAGCGCTGAGCTTGCGGCGAGGGGAGAAGACTCCGCTTTGGCTGGCTCCTCGGATCTGCTCGCTGCTCATGCGAAGTGAGAGGGCAACTGCCGCAGGTCAATGGTCGAGTTTAGGAACCAGCTCGAAGCAAAGAACAAAAAGGAAAAAACAGGGGTCCTTGAGATGTCAGTGGAGGATACGCCCCACAAGCCATCCTGAGGGTCTACCACTTTACAGAGATTCCGTGATTGCCTCCGCAAAATGCAACTTAGAACCCAGTTGTCCACAATCACGGTCCTCATGAAAGTAGGCCGACTGCCGGCACCCCGTTTTGGGCTTCGGGTGAAGGAAAACCATGGTAGACCGCTGGCATTCAGGGTCCCAACTTTGGAAGGTACTGACTCGGCTTGAGCGCCTTTCGCAAGTTGCCGCTCAGGCGGGCACGAGTCATCAGTGTAGTCCTGGCCAGGGCCGAGAGTCCTTCGAATCCAAACCTCAGTGAACAAGGGGATCCCCCTACTTGACTCTACAAAGTGGCACAGGTGCCTTGGAGTTGGCCCAAACTTAACCGAGCGATAGGGGCCCTGTTGATTCGAGCGCTTGGGGTGCCCGGACTGCAATCGACATGTGACGTGCGGGTCTTGAGGGGGCTCTACAACTAGAGTCGCCCGCCAACAATAACCTGTCCAACAGCACGCTGCTCGTACAAATGTGGAAACGCAAGCCAGGGGTGGGGCATCCGATAAGTCCAAAGACCTTGTCACAAGAGAAAAGCTTGGCCTCTGGCAAAGTAAACAAAAGGCTCAAGGGTAAACAATTGGCGGCTGACGAAGGGAAATCAAGTTGGAAAGGACACCCATACCAATTTTCTACCTTTCATATTTCCTTTCGCTGCCTTGAGCAAACAAATATATACGCAATAATGCCAATTGTCCAACAAACCATTTGCTAGCCGTTGGGTTCCGGCACCAAGTTTCTGCACAAGCCTGCTGCCCCCCCTCCCCCAACCACCCTCCCAGTCCTCCAAAGCAACCTCTTTGCCCAGCAGGAAGCACAGCCTGGATGAAGATGGGGTTGTCAAAAATCGGGATTTGGATCCAACATGATGCAACAAAAGGGTGATTTCCCCTTTCATGTCCCTTTCAACCACCCCAAAAAGGGCTCCCTCAAAAACCACACCCATTTCCATCGGCCCAAGCCCAGCTGTGGAACCAGCTTGTGCCAAAAAACTTCCTCTTTGCACAGGGCACGCCTGCGGGACCCTTGCAGTTGGAGAAAACATAGTCCGCCGACCCCCCTGCCTGCAAGGGGAAGGCGCTGGGGGAGTGTTCGTTTAGCGTTGGAGCGTGGCTGTGGCAGCCTTCTCCCTTCCCTTTCGCCCTCGCCCGTTCAGCCCTGTACCTTACCAGCCTTCTTTCTTTCCCTTTTTTCTTGTTCTTCTTCGTTTCTTTTCTTTCCTTTTCCTTTCTGCTGCCGGCGCACTCCTTTGGTTGGTGCTCGCTGTAGACAAACGAGTGCGGCCTGGAAAAGCGCGGGAAGCGAAGCTTTTGTGGCTGGCCGCTCCCTCTGGACCGATAGCCTTGCTGCATATTGGACTCAAACGCGACGTTAGGCACCCGGCCGCGGCGGAGCAGGCTGCCGGCGCACTCCTTTGGTTCGTGCTCGCTGCGGCGAAGCGAGTGCGGCCTCCAAGCGCGCTGGACGCGAAGCTGTTCTTGCTGGTCGCGCCCTGGGGACCGATAGCTTTCTACTTTCTATATAGGATTCAAAAGTGACGTTCGGCACCCGGCCGCGGCGTACCAGCCGGTCTTGGCAAGACGCACAGCAAACCCAAAGGGATGAAAGACCAGGGAGAGGCAAACTGTGACAGACGCAGGCGCACATGGGCATGGACAGGCCGGGGATTGAACCCAGCCCCTCTCGCATGCTGAGCGGGTGTGATACCACTACACCAACTACCCCTGAGCTGAGCAGGCCGAGAGTGCTCAAATACCTGCTGCGCATAGCTTTCAGCGCTGAAGCGGTCCAGAGGGAGCGGCCAGCCACAAAAGCTTCGCTTCCCGCGCTTGCGCCGGCAGCAGAGAGGAAAAGGAAAGAAACCAAAGGAGTGCGCCGGCAGCAGAAAGGAAGACTAGAGGCCGAACGGGCGGGCCCGCACTTTTGCCCACAGCGAGAACCAACCAAAGGAGTGCGCCGGCAGCAGAAAGGAAGCAAAAAGGCCGGACGAGCGGGCCGTGACAGAGCTTCAGCGCTGAAAACTGTGCCCTGCAGGTGCTTGAGCGCTTTTCCAGGCCGCGCTCGTTTGCCCACAGCGAAAAGAGCGCTGGACGGACCGATAGAGCTGCATATTGGACTCAAACGCGACGTTAGGCACCCGGCCGCGGCGGAGCAGGCTGCCGGCGCACTCCTTTGGTTCGTGCTCGCTGCGGCGAAGCGAGAGCGAGCTGGACGCGCACTCCTTTGGTTCGTGCTCGCTGCGGCGAAGCGAGTGCGGCCTCCAAGCGCGCTGGACGCGAAGCTGTTCTTGCTGGTCGCGCCCTGGGGACCGATAGCTTTCTACTTTCTATATAGGATTCAAAAGTGACGTTCGGCACCCGGCCGCGGCGTACCAGCCGGTCTTGGCAAGACGCACAGCAAACCCAAAGGGATGAAAGACCAGGGAGAGGCAAACTGTGACAGACGCAGGCGCACATGGGCATGGACAGGCCGGGGATTGAACCCAGCCCCTCTCGCATGCTGAGCGGGTGTGATACCACTACACCAACTGCCCCTGAGCTGAGCAGGCCGAGAGTGCTCAAATACCTGCTGCGCATAGCTTTCAGCGCTGAAGCGGTCCAGAGGGAGCGGCCAGCCACAAAAGCTTCGCTTCCCGCGCTTGCGCCGGCAGCAGAGAGGAAAAGGAAAGAAACCAAAGGAGTGCGCCGGAAGCAGAGGAAGAGAACGGGCGGGCCCGCACTCCTTTGCCCACAGCGAGAACCAACCAAAGGAGTGCGCCGGCAGCAGAAAGGAAGCAAAAAGGCCGGACGAGCGGGCCGTGACAGAGCTTCAGCGCTGAAAACTGTGCCCTGCAGGTGCTTGAGCGCTTTTCCAGGCCGCGCTCGTTTGCCCACAGCGAAAAGGCCGCTGGACGGACCGATAGCCTGGACTCAAACGCGACGTTAGGCACCCGGCCGCGGCGGAGCAGGCTGCCGGCGCCTCCTTTGGTTCGTGCTCGCTGCGGCGAAGCGAGTGCGGCCTCCAAGCGCTCTGGACGCGAAGCTGTTCTTGCTGGTCGCGCCCTGGGGACCGATAGCTTTCTACTTTCTATATAGGATTCAAAAGTGACGTTCGGCACCCGGCCGCGGCGTACCAGCCGGTCTTGGCAAGACGCACAGCAAACCCAAAGGGATGAAAGACCAGGGAGAGGCAAACTGTGACAGACGCAGGCGCACATGGGCATGGACAGGCCGGGGATTGAACCCAGCCCCTCTCGCATGCTGAGTGTGATACCACTACACCAACTGCCCCTGAGCTGAGCAGGCCGAGAGTGCTCAAATACCTGCTGCGCATAGCTTTCAGCGCTGAAGCGGTCCAGAGGGAGCGGCCAGCCACAAAAGCTTCGCTTCCCGCGCTTGCGCCGGCAGCAGAGAGGAAAGGAAACAGAAACAAAAACTAGGCGAACGGGCGGGCCCGCACTCCTTTGCCCCAGCGAGAACCAACGGTGCGCCGGCAGCAGAAAGGAAGCAAAAAGGCCGGACGAGCGGGCCGTGACAGAGCTTCAGCGCTGAAAACTGTGCCCTGCAGGTGCTTGAGCGCTTTCCAGGCCGCGCTCGTTTGCCCACAGCGAGAGGCCGCTGGACGGACCGATAGCCTTGCTGCATATTGGACTCAGCCGCGACGTTAGGCACCCGGCCGCGGCGGAGCAGGCTGCCGGCGCACTCCTTTGGTTCGTGCTCGCTGCGGCGAAGCGAGTGCGGCCTCCAAGCGCGCTGGACGCGAAGCTGTTCTTGCTGCTTGCGCCCTGGGGACCGATAGCTTTCTACCTTCTGTATAGGATTCTACAGTGACGTTCGGCACCCGGCCGCGGTGGAAACAGCCGCCCTTGGCAAGACGCACAGCAAACCCAAAGGAAAGAAGAGCAGGGATCGGCAGACTGTCCCAGACGCAGGCGCACATGGGCATGGACAGGCTGGGGATTGAGCCCGCCCTCTCACATGCTGGGTGTGATGCCGCTACACCAACTACCCCTGAGCTGAGAAGGCCGAGAGTGCTCAAACACCTGCTGGCCGCAGATTTCAGCGCTGAAGCTCTGTCACGGCCAGCCCGTTCGGCCTGTCTTCGCACTCCTTTGGTTGGTGCTCGCTGTGGGGGGCAAACGAGTGCGGCCTAAAACAGCGCTCGAACACCTGCAGGGCACAGCTTTCAGCGCTGAAGCTCTCTCGCGGCCCGCCCGTACGGCCTTTTTTCTTCCTTTTTCTCCTTTTCTGCGCACTCCTTTGGTTTCTTTCCTTTTCCTTTCTGCTGCCGGCGCACTCCTTTGGTTGGCGCTCGCTGTGGACAAACGAGTGCAGCCTGGAAAAGCGCGGGAAGCGAAGCTTTTGTGGCTGGCCGCTCCCTCTGCACCGATAGCTTTGCTGCATGTTGGACTCAAATGCGACGTTAGGCACTCGGCCGCGGCGGAGCAGGCTGCCGGCGCACTCCTTTGGTTCGTGCTCGCTGCAGCGCAGCGAGTGCGGCCTCCAAGCGCGCTGGACGCGAAGCTGTTCTTGCTGGTTGCGCCCTGGGGACCGATTGCTGTCTACTTTCCATATAGCACTCCTTTGGTTGGTGCTCGCTGTGGGCAAACGAGCGCGGCCTGGAAAAGCGCTGAAAACAAGCAAACAAGCCAGCGAGCGAGCAAGCCAGCAAGCCAGAACCAGCCAAAAGCCGCTGCCAGAACAAAAAAAAACCTGGGCTGGCCCCCAGCGGAGGGGTCGGCGGCACTGGGCGGCAGCCCTTAAATCCGGCCACCGGACGTGATCGGGCCGCAGGCCAAAGCCCGTTAGGGCTTACCTTCAGGTATAAGGCGCGCGCCCCATGCCGCCGACCATGCGCGGACCATGCGCAGAACATGCGCATACGTTTTATGCTGGGCCCTCCCTTATAAGGGGCGAAGGATTTGCGGATTTGTTTAAGCGATTTTTGAGGAGTTTTGTAGCATCTCCCCGCAGAGTCACAAAACGAGCGCTTCTTGGGGGGTGCCTAATACTGGACAACACCCCCAGCATTGCCAGCATCATTCCGGATGATGCAGATGATGCTATGCATGCTGGCGATGCGAAACAAGGGGTTGAGGGGAAATGCAAAGGAATGGCACGAAAAATGGGGAGGGCACTGGAGAGAAACCGAGATGCAGGAAAATGCAAGGGCAGAACGTGAAGGGGACCGGACAGAATGCAAGTGGAAGTGAAGGGACATGCCAGGAGACTGTCAGGGAAGACATGCAAAGGAAAAGTTCATTCAAATCATCCCGAAAACTAGCAGGACTTGGAGGGAAAGGAAATCAAAGAACGGGAAGGGGTGCCCGGTGGCCGGCTGTGTCGCGTCAGCGTGTAAATCCGGCCACCGGACGTGATCGGGCCGCAGGCCAAAGCCCGTTAGGGCTTACCTTCAGGTATAAGGCCGCGCGCCCCATGCCGCCGACCATGCGCGGACCATGCGCAGAACATGCGCATACGTTTTATGCTGGGCCCTCCCTTATAAGGGGCGAAGGATTTGCGGATTGGTTTAGGCGTTTTTGTAGCATCTCCCCGCAGCATCCAAAAACGAGTCCAAAAACGAGTATTTTTGGGGGGTGCCTAATACTGGACAACACCCCCAGCATTGCCAGCATCATCCCGGATGATGCGGATGATGCTATGCATGCTGGCGATGCGGGGGATGCTGGGGATCTTAAAATATGAAATTCCGAAATTCTCAAACTCTTAAAATCTCAGAATCTTAAAAGCTTCCAAAACTTAAATTCTTTAAATCTCGAACTATTGCAATCTGAAAATCTTAAATTCATAAACGAGTAAAATATAATAAAATTCCTTCAATCCGGGCTATATTCTAAATTCCTTAAACTCTTAATCTTAAAATCTTGCATTCCGAAAGTCGCCAAATCTGAAAATCTCACCAAAAATAAAATCTTAAAGCTTCCGAAATCTGATAATGGATGGAAAATGGCTGGGCAATGGCCTGGCTGTTATAACTTTCAAACACCTTAAGTCTTTGAATCTTAAAACCTTAATTCTTAAACCATTGAAGCCTTAAATTCCAAAAGTCTTCAAATCTGAGACCCTTAGAATCTCAAAGTGTTTAGAATTTTTAAGTGACAGAACGGGCAAGGCAAGGTGCCCGGTGGCCGGCTGTGTCGCGTCAGCGTGTAAATCCGGCCACCGGACGTGATCGGGCCGCAGGCCAAAGCCCGGTAGGGCTTACCTTCAGGTATAAGGTCGCGCGCCCCATGCCGCCGACCATGCGCAGAACATGCGCAGAACATGCGCAGAACATGCGCATACGTTTTATGCTGGGCCCTCCCTTATAAGGGGCGAAGGATTTGCGGATTGGTTTAGGCGATTTCCGAGGATTTTTGTAGCATCTCCCCGCAGCGCCCAAAACCGAGTCCAAAAACGAGCATTTTTAGGGGGTGCCTAATACTGGACAACACTCCCAGCATTGCCAGCATCATCCCGGATAATGCGGATGATGTTATGCATGCTGGCGATGCGGGTGATGCTGGGGATGTTGTCCCCTAAGTCGGGCCAATTTTGCCGAAAACGTGCAACCTGAAAATCTTAAAATCTAAAGTGGATGGAAAATGGATGGAACATGGCCTGGATTGAAATCTCAAAATCCTAAAGTCTTAGATTCTTAAAATCTTAAATTAAAATCTAACAATCAATCTTAGAATCTCAAGATCTTAAAATCTTAGAATCTTAAAATCTGAAAATATAAAAACATCCTCCCAGCATTGCCAGCATCATCCCGGATGATGCGGATGATGCTATGCATGCTGGCGATGCGAAACAAGGGGCGGAAAATTGGAAGCAGGCGTGACCGGAAGTCCACGAAATGGACATCAAAGGAATTGCACGAATTTGAGGGGGGCACTGGAGAGAAGCCAAAATGCAGGCAAATGCAAGGTCAGACGAGGGGAACCGAAGAAGGAAACGAAAACAAATTGTGGAAATTATGGAAAACGAAGAGAAACTGCGAAACGAAGGGATGTGCAGGAAACTGACGTGGAATGGGAGGCGGACTGAAGTCACGGAAACTGAAAAGAACAGAGGGGAGGACTGCGACTGACACGGCGAAACTGTCGAAGATGCAGGAAACACGCGCAAAGGAAGTGAGGTTCAAATCTCGGGAACTGATCGGAATTAACGGAAACGGAAGTGGCAGAACGGCCAGGTCAAGGTGCCCGGTGGCCGGCTGTGTCGCGTCAGCGTGTAAATAATGCCCCACACGTCCCCCAGAAACCAGTTTTCACCCAATCGGCATACAAGCTTCCAGCGCATATGCCCAGTACAAGCGAGAACTATAGCCATTCACCATTGGGGGATTGAGCTGCACCATTTTTTAAATCTCAGGGTGGGGTGCCACTCCTCAGTTGTTTTGGGCCAGTGTGACTCAGGACCCTGGAACAGCATCGTGCACAAGTCAAGTTCATGCCATGTAATTAGGCCCAAAATCATGCAAGGGAAAATGGATGAGGCTCAGATACGACAAGGAGTGCGGAGTCCCAAAAGGATTCTGTCAAAAACCATACTTCTAGTTTCGAAACTGAACGTCTTGAAGCCGCTCTGAGACTTTTACTTGGTTTCGAGTGCTTGACCGACTTATCGTTGGGCGAAATTGACAGGCGATGCGACCAACCTTTTCAATGTAGGAGTAGCCTTCCCTCTCCAGCCATGCGACCCCAACCTTCTGTGAATTTCCGAGTCGAGGATGTCACATTCAGCCTCGGGAAGCCAAGCCAAGAAAAGCTGATGGGCCTCCTGGGAATGTGGAGGGGTACCAGATCTGAACGAGAACATGCTACCAAGGCATCCCAAGCTGGCTCGTACTTGCCAGACCAGGAGCTGACGGTGTCCTCCTGCGCCTGCGAGCACATTGCCTTCAAAGACAATGGTACGCTGGCGGCTTGCGAGGACTGCTGCGCGCGGTCCAGCGAGCGCGATAAACATTTCAGGTGCAACGCTGCCACTCTGGCCACAAACGGAAACCATCAAAGCATCAAGGCAGCATCGGCAACGAGTGTCATTCAGGCCACGCGCTAACCCTCCGAAGCACATGCAGCTCGGCAGGATGGGCAAAGACCAGAGGATGACGGGCCACACGTAGACAACGCCATTGCGGTGTGCCATAGTCATGGCCACCACACAGCTGAAACCAAGATCGGGCAACAGCAACAACCCAAGACGCTCCTTGCTATCCAAGACATCCAAATCCGACTCCTGGTGGCTGCAGCTCTAGCGCTGCTTCCTGCCAGCCATCCAAAACTTCGAGCCGTTCCAGGGGCGCAAGCAACTAATGCCCACGCATGCGCAACACCGCAGGAGAACTGCTGCAGAACTGAGCACAAAAGAGGTCAGTTGGCCTGGTGATGTGCATACTGTAGACTGACCAGACTGAGACGAAGATCATCAAAGCAAGGCAAACCAAGATCATGAGAATACCAGTCGAAGGCTACAGATCGTCCGTTCCCAAGAACTGCTCGGTTCACGTTGGCGTTCAGCTCAGCAATAATATCTTTCCTCCGTGCTTCTCGCAGTCTTTTTTCCTCTTCCACAGCTTTCGGGGGTAGAGGCTGCACCGGCTCCTTATGTTGGCCATGGTCTTGCCGCCCTTGATGTAGGAACCTTTACGATTGTCTAAAGCCCCTACTCAAAGGTTGGTGACCATCATGTCCAACCCCCAGAAAACGACTCTTTTGGACTCCCTGCTTCAATCGCGGGGGGGGGGGGGGGTCAAATCTATCTTTGGGTCCCTGCCATGTTTGAACCAGGGTCGAAGATTCGGCCTTCATCACTTTCCAGGGCCTATCACAACCCCAAGGGCAGTGGGGAAGAAAGATGAGTCCCAGACACCCCCAATTCTGTTTAAAAAAGAAACAATTCCGGTTTGGAAAAGAAAGGATGCCCCCCCCAAACCGGCCGTCTGTTTTCCATTTGGCTTCCCTTTAGACCAACCCCAAGAAGGGTACCCTCAAAAAATCCAACCATGTTTAAGGGTGCCGGTGATTGCCCGTTCCCGGCCTAAAGGGCAGCTGACAAGCGATGCTCTGCGAGGTGGTGACGTGGCATCCCTGCACTCCTGCGGACGCTTGAGGCTCGCTCGTTGGCTGCTTGTATCATGGCAATGCCCATTTGCTCCCTGAAGACCGGCCACAAAGAGTCGCCAGGAAAGGTTTGGAAGGAACATTCTTAGTTCTTTGACGAGCTCTTAAAGCTGTGCCTCTTCGTGGAGGGCCTGATGTCCGAGATGGAGAATCGGGACCTGATTTGTGTGGCCAATGGGCCAAACTTCATGGCTTGGTGCACAGATCCCGTCTGCCAGGCAGCCTTCCTCTTCCAAAGCAAACAAGTTTGCACGCCACACATCCATTTGAGGAGGATTTCCAAATGTTTATGTCCAACACAAGTTTCAGGGGTTGCTCTGTGGGGTCGGCGCTTGTTTGCGGGGTGCTGTCAAAAAATGGGACCCTGCTTTGTCACCTTGGCGGTTCCTACACATGTTCCTTTCGTTTCTGAACCACCGTTGTCCTCGACAAACCATATGCACATTCCATTAGAAAAGCGTCTTTCATCCACAATGCGAACCGCACAAAGCCGAAATCTGCGCTTTCAAGGCTCTGGCATGCAACTGCCTGGTCTCAATGCTCTGGTTTCGGCTCAAGCGGCCTATGTCAACCAATGCAAGCCATAAACTGGCTTCCCATGTTTTTCCTTGAGCCATCCAGGAGAAAGGGGCCTCCATCTGCTCCCAAGTGAAAGGCTAAAGATCCAAACAACAGTCAAGCAAGAAGCTGGTCTCCAATTCTTCGGACAGCTCGTACGTCAGATCCCACTGTCCCGGCCTGCAAGCTCCAAGCTCCAGCGTGCCTGGTCCAGACGCTGGAACACAAGCAGGTGTTGTGTTGGGAATCGGACACCTAAAACTGAATTTGGGGTCTCCTCCTGCAGCCAGGTGATCACCAAAACAACTACCCTGCAAAAACACACGCACACACACACACACACACCCACACACCCACACACACACACACACACACACGCACGCACGCACGCACGCACGCACGCACGCACGCACGCACGCACGCACGCACGAAAACACGCACGCACGCACGCACGCACGCACGCACGCGCGCGCGCGCGCGAACGCACGCACGCACGCACGCACGCACGCACGCACGCACGCACGCACGCACGCACGGACGCACGGACGCACAAACGCACGGACGCACGAACGCACGGACGCACGGACGGACGCACGGACGCACGGACGCACGGACGCACGGACGGACGGACGCACGGACGAACGGACGAACGGACGCACGCACGCACGCGCGCCCACACCCACACCCACACCCACACCCACACGCCCACACGCCCACACGCCCACGCGCACGCGCCCGCGCACGCGCAGGCGCACGCGCACACCCACACACCCACAGCACGCGCACGCGCAGGCGCACGCGCACACCCACACACCCACATACCCACACGCGCACACACCCACACACCCACACCACACAACACCACACAACACCACACGCACCACACAAGCACACACGCACACACGCACACACGCACACTCACACACACACACACCCACCCACCCACCCACCCACCCACCCACGCACGCACGCACGCACGCACGCACGAACGCACGCACGCACGCACGCACAAATGCACACACCCACATCCACACCCACACACACACACATCCATCTTTTAGGGGTTAATCTTTGAGGTGAGTGCTTTTTGAGGGGTGTTGTCAAAAAACGGGGCCCTGCTTTGCGACTGGCGGTTCTGTCAAAGATTGATAGAATCATGGGGCAATAGATTTGGGATGCCTTTGCCAGAAAAAAGGTCATTCCACCATTGCGAGGGGCCCCTAGCTTTAGGACGCAATCATTCAGGCATGACAGGCCTACGGCACCTGCGAATCAAGACCTGGACTTTGCCGCGGAGCCACACCGCAGATTGACATGGAATCAACCAAAGGGCGTCGCCCAGGAGATTCTTCGAAGAAAGACGGCTGATTGGGTTACATGTCAACCCGCTGAAGAGTAGCCTCAACAAATGCATCTAAAATCATCTAAAACTGGCTGAAGACCATGAAGTTGCAAGACAAGAAAGAGACTGCAAACTGTTCGCAACCAAACTACAAGATAACCGCTTGGTGTTTTGGGACCTTGACTTAATGGACCAACCTTCGGGGGAATCAAAAGGTAGGTCCGAAGTCCCATACGCTTCGGATCCCCAAGGGGCACCAGCCCGAGCAAATAAGCAGCCGGCCTCGGCTTCTCCTTGGTGAACTCGTGTCTCCAAAATGGGCGCGGCTTCGTTGCTGTTGACCCTCTAAAAGCTTAACCTCTTGGGGGCTGGGTGGAAACCCCCTTCATTTCCCAAAAAGCTTAAGTCTAAAGATCCAACCCAATAGCAGTCAAGGCGTGAGGCTCGGTTCCCCATGCTTTGTGGCCTAGCGGAAGCAGCAGGAAAACCCACCTAGGGGTGTCCGGCTCCTCAACAAGGGCACGCACAAATACTGCCCTGCATTTTTGCATGGAACCCACAAGGGGCCCGCAACAGGAAATTCCGAATCACGGATCATGCCCAGAGGGCAACCAACAAAAAAGAGGAGGTTTCCCTTCGGCTTTGAAGCAACCCAAAGGCACCCAACCTCCTCAAAATCAAAGACGCCCAAATACTTAGGGGATTAGGAATGCAACTCCAGCACTCCAGGACTCCAGGAAGGCTTCTGAAACCCCAAGAACAGTGGCACAGTCCACGACATCCCCCGGAAAGGCAACCCAACAAGGCGCCATCACACAGAGCCATCAACTCCTGGAGGCCCTACCGCTCCAGGTGGGTCTTTGCCTGTCCTTAAAACCCACCGGGGGGGGCAAAGAAACGGGCTTGAAACAAACCGCCAGCTCCCTCCAAACGCCAAGAAGCCTGAGACCTCCTTGTGGTCATGCCGCCCTTTTCCTCGACCTGCGCTGAGGGAGAAAGGTTGGGGGATTTCATCACTGCGAGGCCACCACTGCTAGCCATTGGGAAATTAAATAGACGGATTGAAGCCAAATACCTTCACCATTGGGCGATCGGGCACATGTTTGCACGTCCAACGACAAAAGCCATCCCAAGGTTCTTTGGTTTGGACAAATCGAGGCTATGACTAAAATGGGATCTAGGATTCCCACATGTTTTCTCAATGCCATTGCCCCTTAGTGTGGAGTGCCTGTGCAAAGCAGGCCATTCTTTCCCTTTTTCGCTGCTGTTTGGGGGCATGAAACAGACCTCCTCAAAGGGTACACCTCAAAACCTCCAAATCAGCTGAGTGTTGCAACACCAAGGGACCCCGAAGGACAGCCCCGCCTTTGCGACGCGCCACCGGCTGGTGCGGAACGGGAATCATCTCCCGCGCCTGACAAGAGGCACAGAAAACCGGTGCATGGTATTCCTGCTTGGTTTCCGTTTGATTTCTGGCTGGTTATCGTTAAGAAGGCACTGGGGCTGCCTCCTACTGGTGGCTTGAGCGTTCCGTGGCATCCAAGGTATGGAGGCTTCCGGTGCCGACGAAATGGAAGGATCCCATTCGGTTCGGGCGGAACGGATGGGGAAGCTGCAAAGAACAAACATCTCGGGGTGGACCGTTCCTGGAGAAAACACGTTTGAACGAGTGAGCAACTTAAAAGCGCTTGGGGGAGAACATCCCGAGGTTTACTTGTATTTCCTTGTTGTATTCAGCAACCCTCCATACCTCGTTGACTCATGACCAGCCTCCAGGCACCCATCTGCATCTCGCCCCTCCTCGATGACATCTTCCGCTTCAGACGTGGCTGTGGAATCTGGCTTCATGCCGGCTGGCTCTGGCAAAGCGGCTGGCTCTGGCAAAGCAGCTGGCTCTGGCAGAACGGCTGGCTCTGGCAAAGCAGCTGGCTCTGGCAGAACGGCTGGCTCTGGCAGCGCTGATGGCGCTGGTTCAGCTGGTCCACTTGGCTCATCTGGCTCCGCTAGCTTTGGCTCAGCTGCAGCTGGCTGTGGCGCCGTGGCGGGCTCTGGCATGGCAGCCTCGAGCAAGCCTTCGGGCACTGCAGGCGTCTCTTCGGCCTGGCACGGTCTTGGGACTTTGCCAGGAATCGCCTTCTGTTGCCTTCATGTGGCCATGGTTCAAAATCCCGTACCCCCAGTGAACATCTCAATTCCCACTAAATAAACTAAAATGAGTGGTGCACCTACCCCAAAATGGTACCATTGGTTTTGACCCACAGTCATGTTAGCTTGCCTTCCCTCCCCAAACAAAAACGGGCCTTTGGTTTTGACGCGCAGCCACTTGCCTCTCAAGTCAGATGCGCGGAGATTCTTGGCTTGGTCACGGGCAGGTGGGCGTCATCATTCATAACCAGTCTACACAGTGGACATCTGAGGTGTCGCAGTCTATGAACTGAGTCACATCAGGGGCATCAAAAGGGGGCCTTAAAAATGGCTTTCATCGGAGGGCTGACTTCCAATCAAACTGGGAAGCCACTACCAAGAGGCCCCTTTTTGCGAAGTGAAGCCCTCATGAGCCAAAACCGCCCAAGACAAAATACCACCAAGCCTGGATCTGGGCCCATTCTGCCGCTGCCTCCAATGCCGCCGGGACTGGGGAACTCTCGGCCTGTGCTGCAAGCGATTGAGACCAGAGTGCGGGCAAACCAAGTCTCTGAGCCAAGTGGGGCCCGACGGCCCGACAGGGGTCCAGAATTCAAACAGTGGGTCCAGAATTCAAAGAGAAGAAGGATCATGGGTGCTTGTTGCGACCGTCAAGCCCTCTACATTGCGGGGAAACAAGGCTGTCAGAGCGCTTGTTTTTGCAGATGTTGAAGCAAATTCACGCCCGCCCAACTAGCCTCAGAAAAACATCATTGAGCAGGAAGAAGGCAATGCAATTCGTAAGTCCATGAAGCATTCATACCCAAGCAAGGGGGTACGATGAAAATCAGATCAGCCAAATGCTGGATTTGTCCAAGTATTGCGAGTCAACCTTGGTCCAGAACCTGCACCGGTTCCCTTGTCCAGATCCAGCCGAGGCCTGACCTTTCAGAAACAAAGGTAGCTGGAACCCAGACACTCAGCGACCAAGGCTGCACTTCTCTGTGACCAACGGCTTCCCACAAGAAGCTGTACAAGTGCAACCTGGGGGCTGTTCACAAATGGTTATTGGATGTAACTGGCTCTGAGTGGGCCTTCACTGCGAGCGAGCAACAAACATATTGGGGGTCAAGGTAAGGCGAGGCGCAACTAATGAGCCGTCCGTTGAAGCCAATACATGGACTCGACCAGCTACTGCGAATGGGCGTCAAAACAACGTGGAATCCGAGGAATCCACTTATGTTCAACCAGCTTTGACCTGAAGGTAAATAATTAGGTCGACTCACAATAGAACAACTTGGGTGCAGGCAGCCTTACCTAAATTTACCAGAATTCCTCACACCCCATCCAGCCTGACACTGACAAAAAAGTGACACATATCTGCAGTCTGCACAAACTGCTGTATTTCACCATCCTGAATTCAGAGCATCCCTAAAGCCAGCAACTTAACCAGAATGCCTATTACGGGGGACATGTCAACATTAGGGGGTATTTGTTTCACAACCCCTCAAAGGTGTGTCTCAAAATATCTAGGTAACCCCTCAGAAAGTCAAAGCTCGGCCTCCTCTTTTGGTGTCCCTAAAAAAAAGGGAAGGCAGGGTTCCTCTTGTCCAATTTGGGTCCTTGGGGCGTACCCTAACAAAACACGAACCCAAAATTGGGATTACCCCAAGGAAGCCCCCCTGCCTTTTCGGTCGAGTCTCCGCGCGCCTGACAACAAAAAGGTGCCGCGATGACATCTCCCACCATTTTTAGGCTCCTCTTGTTGACACAGGTTTGCTTTTTGGCGTGAAAGCCATTCTGAGGCTGTTTTGAAAGGAAAACCGAAGCGAAAGCAGCCAGTTGAGGGGAGGCCTCATTTCAAAACAACCCCGTGCCAGTCCAAAAGGCTGACTTGCAAACACAACAGCCGAAAATAAAGGCACACCTCTTGGAGAGCTGACTCAACGCCGGTGCGTCTTTTTGCAAAACAGGTCGGCTTTGGCAACGAGGGAGGTAGAAACTACAAGCTCAAGTTGCCAGGTTTAATACGGTTCAATACCTCATGCTGTCAAAGGCCAAAATGCCCCCCTGCCCAAACCATGGCAACGTCCGGCAGGGTAACTCGACTTGGCCCCAAGATGGAAACTCGAGGCAAGCCCGTCCTTCTTTCTGATTGGTGTGTGTGTGTGTGTCACCCACAAAGTGACAGATTCCCACTCAAGGGGGACACCGTAACAATCAACCAGGGGATTGTTCATCCGAGGTTAGCATTACGTTGTTCAAAAAAGGAGGGTCTGTAGTACTAAATCGTTGTGGGACACCACAAAGAAGACCACTAGCTACTGGTAGCGCCAGAATTGAGGATGAGCGTCTCACTTCTTGAAGGGGTTGGCCAACGAAAGTCTGAACTTGTCGGTGGAAAGTCCAGGAAGACAACTGAGATTTCCAAGGGAAACCAGTATCTGACATGAGGATGAAGGATTCATGACCGGGAAGTGCAGGTTCTTGAGGGCACCCTTTCCTGGGCTTCAAAGAAAACAACCGGAAAGCCACACATTGTGCATTTCCATCTCTGGCACCGGCCTGGACCACTGGTTCCAACAATTTGGCCACCTCCGGCGTGAGATCCTCGGGATTTGGGTGCCGGGACCTGATCAATGTGTCAAACCCGGACCCACAAAAACCACGGTGTTCCCCGTTGATTTCCGTTCACACCAACCATTCAAAGCGTAAAAACCGGTTTGTCCTTTTGATCTCCAAGACAAGGTTGTCCTTTTGAAATCTCTTCAAACTTCAACCCATTCAAACAAGTGCCCTCAAACAAGCACGCAAAGACAAAGACATGGCGATGCATCCCCAGGCGAGTTCGGGGAACCCGTAGCACCGTTCCGTCCTGAGGGCTTTGTAAAAAATGTGCCTGTCAAAACCCGGGGGACACACGATCCAAACGTGGCTTTCCGTTTGGCCTGACAATGGGCACCCTCAAAGAAAAAAAATGCGTGTTGGCTGCCGGCTCAGCTTGCGGTCTCATTGCATTGCCTTCGTGGGGTACAGCTGCTTCCCCCGCAAAGTTGAACAGCTCACGCGAGCAATGCGTAAGGCCTTTTGGACCAATGGCTCATCTGGGGGTGTGGAAATTCTGAGGGCAGCGCCTACTGGCACAAGAAAATCGAAGGGACACCCTTTTGGGAGGTTCCGCATTATGCGGCATTGAGAAGCGCTCGCGGGCTGCTCCGTGGCTTACAGCAGCCCATTTTCCTCTGAAAGGTTGCCAGGAAACCAGTCAAGTGAGCTCCCAAGCCCAACTGGACTTTGGAAGGGGCATGCCACAAACCATAGTAAGGAACCCAAGAGGGCGTAGTTCCCTTCGGGTTGGCCAAGTGGTGCAAACAGTTGTTTAGAACTTCGCCACTGAACCCACATAGACTGACCGAGCAAAACCACTCAAAACAATTAGACGTTCTTTCTTCCAGCCTGTGTGGTATTCCCGTTACACATTGACAAGTTGGGTTTCAGCCCCTTGGCCGGCCCGAACGCTTCCTCGGCCTAGGCAACGGCCACGCCTTCCGAATTTCAGCAAATCTGAGGCGCAGGGCCCAGCAGGCCATCTCTGAGGAGCTGATGGAAATGCAGCGCCCTGGGCCATTCGAATGCTCAGGCTTCGGATCCAACCCCTTCGACTTGCAAAAGCCCCCGGCGATTTGGTCCGTTCGCATCCCCCCGGAGGTGCTTGAACAAAGCTGCCCCGCAGAACTGCTTGAAGAACCCTGCTTGGCCGCGTCTGCCGAGCAGGTGCGTAGCTATTACCTTGTGAACCAGCTCTCTACATCGCCTTCGTTCCGTAGACCTAAGAAGGCCTCACAGCTGTAGCTTCCGGTGACAGAATCTGAACCGGTGTAAATGGATGGTTTCCTCAAGGCCCGGCCCCGGCTCCGGCCCCGGGATCAAGGAACAATCGCATGCCAGTGGCAGGGAACAACCACGTGGCTCAAGCTAACATCAGCTGGGCAATGGGAAAGTATGACTCGCCATTTCTGTGGAACCATGGTTGCCAAAATAAGCAAACTCACGCACCAGTTGGGATGCACGAAATCGCACGAATACTGGGATAAACCACCTCCAGTGGGCTTTGTGTTTTCATTGCTGTTGGAGTTGGGTTCCCTTCGAAATCAACTACAAAAAGATGATGTCACCAACAAATGGCCATGGCTTCCATTTGCCTTTGTTTCGGGGGGGAGGGGGGGGAAGATTCTACTTTCCTGTTTCCCTTCTTTTGAATCTTCCCTCGTTTGGCAACCATCTGCTGCAGGATTCTGTCAGTATTTCCATTTGGCAAATTACTATACAATCTGCAAGCTGAAGCCAGGAATGCCCACGCAAGCACCTTCATGCGGGTGAGCTTGCTTTCCACTCAACTCCGCAGCTTCCTTCCTGCGATCAGCTCAGCGGAAGCCCCCTGCCTCCAGCCACCAGCAGCTGATGGGGCACAGTCGCCTTGGTCTTGCCAGCACCAAAGCTTAGGCTTCCGAATTCGCAGGTCAGGTGCTTGGTGCTAAATCGCGGGATCCTTTCTCTGCGCACTTTTCTTGGGAGGTAAGAACGCACGTCCTCATGTTTCTGATTAGCTTTCCGGATTCCAATTCTCCAGAGTGACTGCCCGCAAAATACAATTCCCCGCACCCTTCCACTCCCCAAGAAAACAAAATGCAACAACCTGCTTTCGTGTGAATGTTTGCACTTTTGCAATTCCCCCCACTCCCACACCTTGCCTGCCCCCCCCCCCATAAACAAAAAAAGAAAGGAGAGCAACAACACCTACAGTTGGAATCGGCTCGGCTTCCCGGCGTGCGCGGCAAAGGTCTGCTCCAACTCCAGCTCCGATTTCCCCGGACTCACCCGGCCCAGCCGCAGGAGCCGATCCGCCTGGCGGCTCGCGGATCTGAAGGCGATGGTCTGGTTGGAGCCTAACGCATGCCTCACGCTGGGTTCACTAGGTCCCGCAGAGAGCTTAGAATAAGGGTACCAACTCTTTTCTGTAGTCTACTTTAGTAGAGGAACCCTCCCCAAAAAAAATGGGTAAAAGGGCACTACTCACATAGGGGGACCTAGTTCAGGTCCAACCCAAAGAGCTACATTCCAGCAACCCTCCCCGGATTTTGTTGGGGCGGCCTTGTGGAAAGAATCCCTGGAAAGAACGGGGAAGGTTGAAGGTACCCCGAGAAACCTGGGATTTGCACAAGACGCAAGACAAGTAGGAAATCAAACTTTGAACACCGATGGGTTGAATGGTTTGCTTGTGACTTATTTTTTTTGGCGTGCCTTTTTTTGGACCCCCCCAAATGGTGGTTGTCCTGTTGGTTTCCTTTACAACCAACCCAAAAGGGATACCCCCTCAAAAGAAGATCCACCCAAATCCGCCCCAACCACCAGCCCCATGGCAGGCTGGCAAAGGCTTAGCCAAGACCATCTGCAACTTGGCGCCCAGTGAAATGCGAGAGCAACAAGTTGCGTGTTGTGTCTGGGTGTCTGGTCCTTGCGTGGGGCGTACAATGAGACTATGGGTTGCAAGTCATAACAAACCATGGAATTCCTGAAGTGGGTGGTGACAATGCTTGCCCACCAACCCCCCCCCTCCCAGGGTCCACGGCCCGGAACATATGCCCTTTATATAATGTTTTTTTTTAATGAAGGTAACGCCCGTGACAAGACCCAGCCAGAGGGGCAGATGACATCAGCAGCATCCCAGGGCTCACGAGCGACGGGTCGGCCAGGAGCATGTGGCCTTGGCTGACACGGGTGATTATTCGCTTCGAACGTCTGGGTGCGGAAGAATGGCACGTTGGTTTTGCTTTGCATTTCTGACTTATGCCGTGGGATGTAGGGCATTTCCCCAGTATCCGTAGGGTTTATCCAGCTGCTGGTGCGGGATGTGGTCCATTCACAGTACCAAAGCGGCCACTTGCTCGTGGCTTCGCGTGAGGCTGGTGATGCCAGGTTACCCGGCCATTTTGCACTTGCTGACATCCAGACAGCCCAGCAGCCAACAAACCAATCAAACCAACAGACTAAGGGAAGACACGCCCATTCATTCGCCGTGAATCCAAAACAGGCCCTAGACTCTGTGACCCAGAAGTATAACGGTGTGTTCACTACCCGCAAGCCACTATGGGCGGGGCGTACAACCTGTAGGCAATGGACAGAGGTTGTTTATGAAATTTGTAGCTTGGGGGCAGTGGCTTGGGATTTGCCCATAATAAATCAAAGAGGGACTTGAAAAGGGGCTCCAAAGGCCCTCCGACCTGGCGACCTTTTGTTTCCCTCACGCATGGGGCATAAAACCATCCAAAACCAGTGGAACCCATCCATTTCTAACCAAACCAATGACCAACCGATGCCTCTGCCAAGTTGGGTTTTTTACCCCCGCACAGCTGGGGCGTCCAGCAGGCCATCGACCCCCAGGAGACGCTGAAGACCTGGGCGCCGTCCTCAGCCTGGCGCGAGTGTCCAGGTGGTAAAAAGAGTAGGGATCTGGAAAGCAGAAAAATGACCCACCCCCCTCGATTGCCACCAAAGCAAGACCCACCCGGACTGAAAGTTTTTCCACCCTCATTGGGGTCGCGAACAACAATCTTATATTGACAAAGGCGGTTCTGCATAAGCACCTGTTTCATATGGGTCCAAACGTGCTTAAAGCCCCGGACTATCCCCGGACAAACTCCCGCACAACCCTCCGGACAGCTTTGAGGGCACAAAGTCGGCGGGACAACTCCCCGGACAAACCCCCGGACAACCCTCAAAAACACAAGTCTTCCGAAACGCCAAAACCACTCGCAAACCACTCGGAAACCGCTCGGAAACCACTCGGAAACAGCGGAAACCACTCGGAAACCACTCGGAACCCGCTCAAAGTCAAAACCGCTCGGAAACCACTCGGAATCACTCGGAGGGAAGTATTCTCGCGGGAGGGGGGTTTGCAGCATCAATCTCGGCAAAGTGCGCGGACAACCCTCCGGACAACCCTCCGACAACTTGCCCCACAGTTGGCATTCGTCAAATCATATAGTTGGATGCTGGTCCACGGGAAATCCCAGAAAAAACCGGCGAGGAAAAGCACACAGCCGTGCGGCCCAAGCTGGAAAACAGATTGACCTTTAAGAACCGTGACAAAAAGACCCGGGCTAAAGCAAAAGGGTGGAATGTCAGCTTTGAGCAAGTGAGCGTATGTAAAAGGCACCCCCCATATGTTGAATCATGCTAACTAGCTTTAAGCATCCTGAGCCGCTTCACTTTCTTTCATAATCATGAATTCCCCACAGAGTGGTGAACACAGGCTCAGAGTCACAGCTGTCTGTCGTTTCTTTCAAAGAAACCTTGTAAAGGGAGGTTTTCACTTCACCCTTGAAGCGGGCCACTATT